TTTTCCTTCATAGCTTGTTCTCCATTCTCTTTTTAAATAGGACAATTTATTTTCAGCACTTTTTATTTCCATGACTGATCAAAACTCGTTTTTCTCATGGCTCTCTCTTGTCCCTCTGCAGCAGACATATGGTGAGCGATATGTTTGAAACATCGAGTCGCAATAAAATCACAGTATCGAATCGCAATACATATATAATTCGTGATAATCGCAATACATATCGTGTCGGCAACAAAGTATCATGATAATATCATATCGTGAGGTCCCTGGCAATTCCCAGCCCTATTCCGCACTGAATGTTGTCTCCTTTTGGGAAAGCCATCCATCAGGGTTGAGTCAGTGTTGGCAAGTTGCGGGGAGGGACACACTTTAGCCGTCACACAGGTGTGTAATGCACCAGCTAGATGGGATGATGTATTGATCTGCATTGAGCAAAGGCACACTGCACCACTGTCCAACATCAAGTGTTCAGTAGAGACATTTTTGAAATGCCTCAGTAAGTTTTATATTCGAGGCAAAAATAGTTCATATTTATCACAGTCAGTTATTGAAGTTAGATGTTATAACATGTTAATACAATGTTGGTACTAGTGTAATTGCAGCATTATTACACAGGTATTAAGGGCAACAGGGAAAAAAAAGTGGTTGGCCAACCAAGGTTTTTAAGCTTTGCCTTTGCGTATCTGTAAAATTTGGTAAATGACAACACGTTTTCTTCCAGTGGCCGCTTCTTTAACAGCAACGTTTTGTTGTGATTATTCACCTGACATATGTTAAATGACTGTTTCAGTTTGACAACAGATCGACTAATCGAAGGATCTTGTCATTACCATATAAAAGAGATCAGTTATACTCCTCTTAAAGAGGCCATCCATCAACACATCTCTAAAAGATAGCACCAGATTACTTCAATTTCCCACACTGTAGCCCAGTTCACGTTTGCTGCGTTCACGTCTAACAGACAGCCTTGCCCTGTCAAAGATGCTGATTTACAACAGACACTCTAGCTGATTGCTCAAAGGTGCTAGCCTTAGCATTTTCGCTATGTCAAGAAAACATGAGTTTGTGCTTGGAATTTGCAAGACACCATCTAAGCAAGCCTCTCTCTTTACAAAGGAAGGCTCATAACTCCTTCCTGTGCTTTGGTCTATTCCCAAAATCCAGGCAGTGAAATGCTTTTGCTTGGCTACTCCTCAAAAGTGTAGTTTATCCTTAGCAGATTTACAAAACACACCTTGAGAGGGTGGCTTGTCATTTTGTTTTGTTCTCATTAATAATTCCGTACGGTAATAAGTGTCGAGGTCATGGCCATGCTTTCAGAAAGGCCTCCTTTTGTTGAGTGTCTGGGATACAAATGACTGAGATGTTGTTGAACAAGGATATAGAAAAGGAACCCAATAAATAGATATGAAAAGTGATTCATAGGCCCCTTGAAAGGCCTGCCAACTCAATTGAAATGAATGAGATCAGAGGATGCCTATGTTTGCGATAAGTTGGTGGATTTCACGTCTGTATATTGATACACTTTCTGTTAGATACAAGGACCTGTGCTTCATAAATACGTTTTGCCATCATTAACACATGACCATAAAGAGTCTCTTTAAATTAGCTAATTTCTGTTTGTCTGTGCAAGCCAGTGGCTTTGCAACATGGAATTCCATCCTCTAGTCTAAACCGATCAAACGCATAATAAACACATGGTTTCTTTTTTAAACCAATGAGAATGTTTTGACTGTCATGACTAAGAAAATTAGATGACACTGGTAATAACGTGATGATGATTGTTAATGGTGATAAATCAGTAGATCGTTTTTAGAAACCCGAGATGGCTGCACATGACAGCATTGTTTGAAGGCACTACTGAACACAGGACTGTCTTTGATGTTGAACAAGGGTAGCATAGAGGGAGACCTTTGACATTCTATAGGGTTGTTGAGACACACGTACGTTGGTTCCGTATTGTGCTCTGGTTGCAGTCTGTCACGCCAGTGCCAATTTACCTCAGACTGAGATACTAGAAGATAAGAGAGGTTGGCAGATTGTCAGATTAAGTACAGTAATATATATTATCTGTTCTGTGATAAGGTAAGCATACATAAGTCATCTTTACTGTTGTTGCCGTGGATGCACTTCTTATGGAAGGGGAGTCTTATGCACTGAACTGAAACCTTAATGAATTAATTTTTTGTCAGAGTTGGTAGTTGACCTCTAAACATGCGGTCATGATGACATGGACTTAATTTACAAGCACTTGAATGCGTGCCATTTTCTTTATAGGGATTATCTTGTTCATGGTCATTATCAATGGATGCATACTGGCTGGGCTTGAAGGGCCAACAATATGGAAGAGATTCAGTTAATTTATGTTGAGGTTTATGCTATACGTAAGATGCCAGGGAATCACTTTCTCTAATGGTGGCAATCAAGGATTTATCTTGGTCTGAAGTATCGTTTCGGGGCCGAATGTGAGATTGAATTGTGATGCCAGCCTCCTCTTGATTTGACCTGGAGGGATGGATACATCAGGGTAATGTTTATGTGAGAAGGTGGCATTAAAAATGAAGGAAATTTATCGTGGCCCCTTACAGCTGACTGGTCAATCGTTCTCAATCATTCCCCGGGCATATTGGACATGGTGAGTAATAATTTAGTTTTTGCAAGTCACTTCCTTAAATGGATGGGCACATTTGGTCAAATGTGCATTGAGAACATAGGCTCTAAATGGATGGATGATGTGATATATTGGTGTCTGCAGGAAGCTTTCGTCCTGGTATAGACAGACATGCCAAGCATGCAGGGTTGAATGGAGTCACACTAGAAGGTTAAGTAGAGTACAGTTTTCCACTTGCCCCTCCAGCGTTGCATCTAATCCCAAAGACACAAGCTCTTAAGCAACGCCAGGCTTAAGTGATTCCTTTGGAATGCTGTTGCTATGGAGGGTAGTTGCAAATGAGAGCCATAGGGCCTAAGCCTGTTGTTGTTTTCGGTAGGGTTTTGGAGATTTTTAAAGAATTTAGTCAATCAGAAACTATTGGGAATGGTCAAAATCTGGTTCCACCATAAACATACTCTACTTTAGCCGTGTGGTCACATTTCAGGACACGTTGAAAATAGTTTGAATACCAGAGAAGAAATATTGCTCAACTGGTTTTGGATGACACTTTGTGTCGTCCCACAGTCTGCTCTGCTATATTCTCAAGAGTTTATGCTCGAGCTGAAAAAGTTTTGAAAACAACCTAATTATAAACTGAAGGAGATAATATTTTGAAAAACAAAAGCTACAAACCTCAACAATCTCCTAGTCAAAAACACAGCATGGTTCCCAACTTCCTAGCTATGACAATTTCAGTTCTGCATACAATCACCATCTTCTTATGTAGAGAGGTCTCCAGTCTTACAACTTTACCCCTTTAATATAGCTAATGCTAATGGAGCAGATGCCCATTCATCATACTGTATGTGGAAAGGTTCACCACTAGAGGGAACCAAGTCTCAGTGTACCTTCCACTCTATTGATTATTGATAGTGAATATACACTGAGTGTACAAAACATTATGAACAGCATGAAAACCCCAGCACTTAAATCTGTCTTGCCCATTCACCCTCGGAATGGCACACATACACAATCCATGTCTCACTTATCTCAAAATTCCTTCTGTAACCTGTCTTCTCCCCTTCATCTACACTAATTGAAGTGGATTTAACGGGTGACATCAATAAGGGATCATAGCTTTAACCTGGTTAGTATATGTCCTGGAAAGAGCAGGTGTTCCTAATGTTTTGTACACTCTCATACTCGGTCCTGCCACCCCCCCTTCCTTTTTTTCGTTGAGGTCCTCAGTATTGGCCAAATAATTGCAAAAAAACATACCATTTAGATAGGCCCACTGGGCTATAAATGGACCAGCCCATCTGGCATTTGCCAGAACTGCCCTGTAGCCAGTCCGTATCTGACTGCATGCCTTGAAATGTCTACCAGGCACAGTACATTACTCATGCAGTGGATCTATTTGTTGATTGTCAAGCTATGGGTGGCACTTCAATGTTCTACATGGGAGCTTTTGAGCTATGGAATACAATATTTGCATCATCATGTACTCCGAGGTGCCTAACTTAAAACAGAAGTATGAATTGCATGTGAGTTGACAGTGGAAACTGCTGTTCAGTGTCTCATTCTAACATGTATAGCTTCTAGATAATTTCCTGTGAGCATTCCACTTGTCTGATAACTTCCCCTAACCACATTATTTGCAATATGGTAGCACTAATGTGAATAGCAATAAAGAGTCCATCTGTGTTCCTCAGCCAACATTTAGAAGATACAAACAGACCGATATGAACAACAAAGAAACACATGGTTTATGGAGCTAATTTGTTTACTGGTCTGCTGAGTCCCCTGTGGGGTACCACCTTAATAACCTTGACACTGAATTGCCTGGCTCTTTACCATAAGTATGTACATGCATTGTACTTAAACAACCCTATACCAGCATGTCCAAAGGGAGCAGATGACATATTGCAGACGACACCGGCAGCATTCTGGGAAAAAGCTCTATGTTCTCTGTCGTGGATCGGTTGTTGCATTCGAAGTTCAATGTGTCGGTAGGACCTTGAGCATGTGGGCTGCACTGCTTCCAGGTTCAACTGAATCTCAAATGGTTTACGACACACTGGTGTCCCGGTTATGTTTTCGAGAGGCTATTGCGAGCAGCAGGTCAGGCCGGGCCAGGCCATGCCTTGTCTGCCATGTTAGCCTTGGAGCGGACTTAGCATTAGGCTAACACCCATAAGTTGAAAGGCTATGAGAACTACTACATGGCCGAATGTTGAAAGGCTGGCCATTGGCAAGCCGTTGGACCTGAAGGAAGGCATGCTGCAAGTAGCTAATTTAGCCCTACATTGTTTACTGGGCTGGTGATATTACTGTGTAACTTGGCATAGCTCCCTTTCTGTTTAACCTTCATCTCGGTAGCTGGGGAACGACTATTCAAAGTGACAAGATGACGAAAGGTTTAGGCTTTAAAGCACGTAATATGCACAGTCAGCTGTAATGTCTTAGTTTGGTGGACTTTGGAATTTGTGACCTGATTTCTCTGAGACCTAAACAATGTGATCTTTGGTAATCTTTTATACATTAATACTGTGAACTGTAAATGATCAATAATTACTTTTGTTTTCCATTCTCCAATAAATGTGTTTAGAAAGAGGGAATAGATTAAATGTACATAATCTTTCAAATGTTTTATTTAGAAACATTCAGTACAGAGTCCTCTGTAAGTTAATGGATAAGCTTTGTTGACATATATTATAAAGAGGGTGGGGTCAACTACTGACCTGGAAATAGGTGAAGCCTGATGTTTACTCTTGCCAGAAAAATAATTTACTAACTGGGAAGATCCAAGCACCCCATCAATTCTTGTCCTGACTAAATGTTTTTCCATAAAGCTGATATAGTAATCCATGATACGTGGAATGTTAATCCTGGATGTTCATTTGTTTTCTGTGAAATTATTATTTTTGTGGTGTCAAGTCTTTTTCACTATTTCTTTTACAGATCAGACCCCATTGACATCAAATGGCACTCGCTGCCGGTTAGATCTTCGCTATGGATGAACCTTGGAAAGGCCGATCAATTCCATTTGACTGCTCTATAATGTCCTGGCAATGTGGAGAGCCCCCAGAGGCACTGAATCCCCAGTGCAGAATGATCCAGGCTGGAGAATGCCTAACACCCCTACTTCAGGAGTCAAACCGCTACGCATAAGAACAATCGGACTAGCGATCTGTGACAAAAGGATTTTGTCTGGATTCCAGACTTCCTAGCTAGTGACTTTCTGAAACATTTCTCCCGGTTTCTGTGACATTTAAGACCTTTCCAAGTTGTGGACAAGGTAAAATCCCCTTCCTCTCGAGCTGCGTAGAGGTGGGAGTAGTCTCCCATGTGTAGCAGGACAGTAGCTGCTGCTAGTGGAATAACGTAGCCTCAGACTGTCTGGGGTTCCTCTTGACGGGGCGAGGGATCCCACCGCTGCCACCAACGAGCCCCAGTCTGCCTCACCGAGTGGCTCCACTCCCGTCAAAAGGCAGACCCTCTATCCAATGGCATGGGTCAAGTTCTTCAGGAAGCCGGGAGGCAATCTCGCCAAGTCCTACCAGCCGGGGAGCATGCTGTCTCTAGCCCCCACCAAAGGCCTGCTGAACGAGCCAGGGCAGAACAGTTGCTTTCTCAACAGTGCGGTGCAGGTGAGTCATATCTAACCAATGAATAGTAAATGAATACTGCATGTTTTCAGATACTTACAATAAATGCTTTGTTTTTCAATGACCATATACAGTGAGGGAAAAAAGTATTTGATCCCCTGCTGATTTTGTACGTTTGCCCACTGACAAAGACATGATCAGTCTATAATTTTAATGGTAGGTTTATTTAAAAAAATCCAGAAAAACGCATGTCAAAAATGTTATAAATTGATTTGCATTTTAATGAGGGAAATAAGTATTTGACCCCTCTGCAAAACATGACTTAGTACTTGGTGGCAAAACCCTTGTTGGCAATCACAGAGGTCAGACGTTTCTTGTAGTTGGCCACCAGGTTTGCACACATCTCAGGAGGGATTTTGTTCCACTCCTCTTTGCAGATCTTCTCCAAGTCATTAAGGTTTTGAGGCTGACGTTTGGCAACTCGAACCTTCAGCTCCCTACACAGATGTTCTATGAGATTAAGGTCTGGAGACTGGCTAGGCCACTCCAGGACCTTAATGTGCTTCTTCTTGAGCCACTCCTTTGCTGCCTTGGCCGTGTGTTTTGGGTCATTGTCATGCTGAAATACCCATCCACGACCCATTTTCAATGCCCTGGCTGAGGGAAGGAGGTTCTCACCCAAGATTTGACGGTACATGGCCCCGTCCATCGTCCCTTTGATGCGGTGAAGTTGTCCTGTCCCCTTAGCAGAAAAACACCCCGAAAGCTTAATGTTTCCACCTCCATGTTTGACGGTGGGGATAATGTTCTTGGGGTCATAGGCAACATTCCTCCTCCTCCAAACACGGCGAGTTGAGTTGATGCCAAAGAGCTCAATTTTGGTCTCATCTGACCACAACACTTTCACCCAGTTCTCCTCTGAATCATTCAGATGTTTGCCAAAGAACTTCAGACGGCCCTGTATATGTGCTTTCTTGAGCAGGGGGACCTTGCGGGCGCTGCAGGATTCCAGTCCTTCACGGCGTAGTGTGTTACCAATTGTTTTCTTGGTGACTATGGTCCCAGTTGCCTTGAGATCATTGACAAGATCCTCCCGTGTAGTTCTGGGTTGATTCCTCACCGTTCTCATGATCATTGCAACTCCACGAGGTGAGATCTTGCATGGAGCCCCAGGCCGAGGGAGATTGACAGTTCTTTTGTGTTTCTTCCATTTGCGAATAATCGCACCAACTGTTGTCACCTTCTCACCAAGTTGCTTGGCGATGGTCTTGTAGCCCATTCCAGCCTTGTGTAGGTCTACAATCTTGTCCCTGACATCCTTGGAGAGCTCTTTGGTCTTGGCCATGGTGGAGAGTTTGGAATCTGATTGATTGATTGCTTCTGTGGACAGGTGTCTTTTATACAGGTAACAAGCTGAGATTAGGAGCACTCCCTTTAAGAGTGTGCTCCTAATCTCAGCTTGTAACCTGTATAAAAGACACTTGGGAGCCAGAAATCTTTCTGATTGAGAGGGGGTCAAATACTTATTTCCCTAATTTAAAATGCAAATCAAATTATAACATTTTTGACATGCGTTTTTCTGGATTTTTTTGTTGTTATTCTGTCTCTCACTGTTCAAATAAACCTACCATTAAAATTATAGACTGATCATTTCTTTGTCAGTGGGCAAACGTACAAAATCAGCAGGGGATCAAATACATTTTTCCCTCACTGTATCCAGAGCAATGGGATGGAAGTAGATACACTGTTAATATCTGATAAGGGGAATGGGTATTAAAACAATGCCCAATCCCTTGATTGCAAAACATGATCTAATTTCCAGAAGGCTACATTCCTCATGTTAGCTTTGCTTATTCATAGTAAACAGCATCTCCCTCCACAGAAAAAATATTTACCACCATCAACATTACTTTACAGCCTCAAAGCCAATAAGCTTAGTCAGTCTCTAAATGCTTCAGTACTTCCCGGCAAGTTACTGGAAGGTTGTTTTTGCCTCGTGGGAAGGCAGTTGGCGGACTCTTCCAGGCCGTGACTCAGAGGGTGAGACACGGCTGAGCTGGATGAAGACGTCCGCTACTCAGGGCTTTGTTTCCAAGGAACAGAAACCCTCCCTCCCCTCTTTCTTTCCTCTCCCTCTCTCCTTCCTCTGTTGTCCTCATGGCCTGACACAACCACCCAGCCCCTCTAAGCACCATATACCAAGGAAGGACATCACTAGCCCTAAATCCACAGTCGAGAATGTTTGAGGTCAGGTCGCAACGTGAAGTTATTATTATTGTTCGAATTATTAACCGGCCCTCAAATGTCCCCTTTAGAACTGAAAGTGTTAAAAAAAAAAAAATCAAATAAAAACCTGTCTTTCATCAAAGGAAGGATTAGCTGGGAAAGTCGGGTTCATAATGAGAGTTCGGTGTGGAATATGAGGTGCTTTCACAATAATATGTTTTCTTCAATCCCATGTTCAGGTACTGTGGCATCTGGACATCTTCAGACGCAGTCTGAGGCAACTTCCTGGACATTTCTGTCTCGGAGACTCATGCATCTTCTGTGCGTTGAAGGTATGCGCCATTCATCAAGTCTTACAGTTGTTGCAAGCGATCACAATATGAAAAAAAAGTGGCATTAGTAGGGCTTTATCATTGCTGACACGGTACCGCTAGTTTGATAGCATTGCCAATAATTTGATTTGGCATTTTGTTGATAACACATATTCAGACTGGGGATATTGATGTTTGAGGGAGTAGTTAGTTGTCCCTTGAGAACTGCTGTAAATAAGTATTGTGTTTTCATTTGCATAATTAAATGAATTAACTTATTTTCTGTTCCGCAGGGCATCTTCTCCCAGTTCCAGCACAGTCGGGAGCGCGCCCTGCCCTCAGACAACCTGCGTCACGCCCTGGCCGAGACTTTTAAGGATGAGCACCGCTTTCAGCTGGGCTTCATGGACGATGCTGCTGAGTGCTTCGTAAGTTCCTGTGGCAACTGACCAGGCTTTCCGGCAGATCCTTGGTATCCAGGGGGCCTCTGAGCAGAGGCGACTGGGGCCTCCCCAGGCATGGATGTGTATGTTTGTGTGTGTATGTTTGTTTGTGTGAGTGTGTTGGGGACACTTGAGGGGGGGGATCTGTAACAAACATTTCAGCGAGGTCACTGTCTGAAAGAGGTCTGTCCCTTCTCCCATCAATCCCCTCAACACAGCCTCTAATATATTATGGTGGTGGGTTACGTAAGCCGAAACACGATCTTTGGGCGTTTACTGTTTCCTCACTGTATTATGCAGCATCAGTCTGAGTGGTTTAAAGTGGCTATTCAGTACACTTGTGTTTAGTTTGGCTACAGTGAGGGGAAAAAAGTATTTGATCCCCTGCTGATTTTGTAAGTTTGCCCACTGACAAAGAAATGATCAATCTATAATTTTAATGGTAGGTTTATTTGAACAGTGAGAGAGAGAATAACAACAAAAAAATCCAGAAAAACGCATGTCAAAAATGTTATAAATTGATTTGCATTTTAATGAGGGAAATAAGTATTTGACCCCCTCTCAATCAGAAAGATTTCTGGCTCGCAGGTGTCTTTTATACAGGTAACGAGCTGAGATTAGGAGCACACTCTTAAAGACCATCGCCAAGCAGCTTGGTGAGAAGGTGACAACAGTTGGTGCGATTATTCGCAAATGGAAGAAACACAAAATAACTGTCAATCTCCCTCGGCCTGGGGCTCCATGCAAGATCTCACCTCGTGGAGTTGCAATGATCATGAGAATGGTGAGGAATCAGCCCAGAACTACACGGGAGGATCTTGTCAATGATCTCAAGGCAGCTGGGACCATAGTCACCAAGAAAACAATTGGTAACACACGACGCCGTGAAGGACTGAAATCCTGCAGCGCCCGCAAGGTCCCCCTGCTCAAGAAAGCACATATACAGGGCCGTCTGAAGTTTGCCAATGAACATCTGAATGATTCAGAGGAGAACTGGGTGAAAGTGTTGTGGTCAGATGAGACCAAAATGGAGCTCTTTGGCATCAACTCAACTCGCCGTGTTTGGAGGAGGAATGCTGCCTATGACCCCAAGAACACCATCCCCACCATCAAACATGGAGGTGGAAACATTATTCTTTGGGGGTGTTTTTCTGCTAAGGGGACAACTTCACCGCATCAAAGGGACGATGGACGGGGCCATGTACCGTCAAATATTGGGTGAGAACCTCCTTCCCTCAGCCAGGCCATTGAAAATGGGTCGTGGATGGGTATTCCAGCATGACAATGACCCAAAACACACGGCCAAGGCAACAAAGGAATGGCTCAAGAAGAAGCACATTAAGGTCCTGGAGTGGCCTAGCCAGTCTCCAGACCTTAATCCCATAGAAAATCTGTGGAGGGAGCTGAAGGTTCGAGTTGCCAAACGTCAGCCTCGAAACCTTAATGACTTGGAGAAGATCTGCAAAGAGGAGTGGAACAAAATCCCTCCTGAGATGTGTGCAAGCCCAGTGGCCAACTACAAGAAACGTCTGACCTCTGTGATTGCCAACAAGGGTTTTGCCACCAAGTACTAAGTCATGTTTTGCAGAGGGGTCAAATACATACTTCCCTCTTTAAAATGCAAATCAATTTATAACATTATTGACATGCGTTTTTCTGGATTGTTTTGTTGTTATTCTGTCTCTCACTGTTCAAATAAACCTACCATTAAAATTATAGACTGATCATGTCTTTGTCAGTGGGCAAACGTACAAAATCAGCAGGGGATCAAATACTTTTTTCCCTCACTGTAACTTCCAAACGTTGATTCTACTGTAATAGAAGTGGTTGAAAAAGTACCCAATTTGTCATACTTGAGTAAAAGTAAACATGCCTAAATAGAAAATGACTAAAGTAAAAGTCACCCAGTAAAATACTACTTGAGTAAAAGTCTAAAAGTATTTGGTTTTAAATATACTTAAGTATCAAAAGTAAATGTATTTGCTAAAATATACTTACATATCAAAAGTAAAAGTAGAAATAATTTCAAATTCCTTATATTAAGCAAACCAGACAGCACCATTTTATTTTTTATTTGAAGATAACCAGGGGCACACAACAAAACTCTGACATAATTTACAAACGAAGCAGTGTGTTTAGTGAGTCCGCCAGATCAGAGGAAGTAGGGATGAGCAGGGATGTTCTCTTGATAAGTGTGTGAATTGGACCATTTTCCTGTCCTGCTAAGCATTTAAAATGGAACGAGTACTTTTGGGTGTCAGGGAAAATGTATGGAGTAAAAAGTACATACTTTTCTTCAGGAATGTAGTGAAGTAAAAGTAGTCAAAAATATAAATAGTAAAGTACAGATACCCCCCCAAAAATGACTTAAGTAGTACTTTAAAGTATTTTTACTTAAGTACTTTACACCACTGTCTAATAGTAATTCTTTATTACCCTGTTCTTTTTAACACTTATTCTAGACCCAACAGAGAAAAGGTCATTACCATCTGGGAGCACAATGTTCAGACGCTTCACCACTAACTAAGAAACATCCAGGATTTAGGAATTTTACTGTACATTACATCTAGTTTTAGACTTCATCTTAGCTAATGATTTAGTTCCTCTTCAGCCCTTTAGCCATAGGGCTTAAATGAGGCTACACTACAGTACATTGTGTTCTCTGTCTGCCTGTATCGGGTTTGTCACTGTAGCGTAATTGCTCTAAACCTAGTCAGCACAGACATATAATCATTTTCTGTTTAGCGCATCAGGTCGAGTGGGTAGGACATTCACTCAGGAGAGCTCATTATACAGTGGAGGATAAACAGCAGAGAAAATGAAGTCTCTTTCTCTCTAGAACCGGAGGTGATGAGAAAACAAGTGGCCAGCCAAACCGATAAACCAATATGCCCACTCTCCGAGCTCCCCGGCAACACAGGGAAGCAGTCACACGAGCCGTTCAAATTTACCTCCAGATTCTCAGTTTCCCGTGGTTTCAGTCTCCTATGGGAGTCTGTTTTGAATAAGCAATTATTTTCAAAGAACCATGATCCAATGAAATCCAAGGTGGTGGTTGAAAGGTCAGGTACCAAACAAAACAAAAAACTAAATGTTTGGATTCTTGTTCTGTATACAATGCCCCTCTTTCAGTGTGGCAACAATGCTGATTCATTTCCATAGCTAGAATAAAAATGTTTGCACACCTGAAGTAACGTGATATTGGGTAGAATGGTTAAAGGGGCTTCTGCACACTGTACAACGTTTCTTTTTTCCCCCTTTATTTTAATGTGCAGTTTGGTCAGATAGTGTCACGTTGTATAATGATTAGAAGACAGGCGCAGGAATATGTATTAGGGCTTTTATTACTCCACCCAACCGTGGCACCCCAGTCCAGGGCCTGTCGGGTCAGTGCCAAGATGACTGTGGCAACCCTGTCTCTCCCGGAGACAGCCTCGGCATAGCAAGCGAGGTACAGGTCGCATTGCAGAAGGAATCCCTTGCATCTCGCTGGCGTGCCGTCAAAGAGCTCCGGGAGGGACAGGGGTATTCCGCGGACCGGCTCAGATGGAATGAAGGCAGGTAGTGGTGGTGTGGGGGCTGGTGCCGGAACCAGTGCTTGAGACTCCTCGTGATGCTGGACTGTCTCTACGATGGTCGCCAGCTCGGCCTTTCCCGCTGTCTCCATTTTTATGGGTCGATTATTCTGTCACAGTGTATAATGATTAGAAGATAGGCGCAGGAATACGTATTAGGGGTTTTATTACTCCACCCAACACAAACACGTGTGTGTGTGTATATATGTGTGTGTGTGTATATATATATATATACACACACACACACACACACACACACACACACACACACACACACAAGGGATGTAACCCAAACAAAGAGTGAGGTGTAACCTCTACACAGTACACGGGACGAGACCCGTAAACAAAAAGAGCACAATACACGGTACAGTTGAAGTCGGAAGTTTACATACACCTTAGCCAAATACATTTAAAATCAGTTTTTCACAATTCCTAACATTTAATCCTAGTAAACATTCCCGGTCTTAGGTCAGTTAGGATCACCACTTTTATTTTAAGAATGTGAAATGTCAAAATAATAGTAGAGAGAATTATTTATTTATTTCAGCTTTTATTTCTTTCATCACATTCCCAGTGGGTCAGAAGTTTACATACACGCAGTTAGTATTTGGTAGCATTGCCTTTAAATTGTTTAACTTAGGTCAAACGTTTCGGGTAGCCTTCCACAAGCTTCCCACAATAAGTTGGGTGAATTTTGGCCCACTCCTCCTGACAGAGCTTTTTCAGTTCTGCCCACACATTTTCTATAGGATTGAGGTCAGAGCTTTGTGATGGCCACTCCAATACCTTGACTTTGTTGTCCTTAAGCCATTTTGCCACAACTTTGGAAGTATGCTTGGGGTCATTGTCCATTTGGAAGACCCATTTGCGACCAAGCTTTAACTTCCTGACTGATGTCTTGAGATGTTACTTCAATATATGCACATAATTTTCCTTCCTGATGATGCCATCTATTTTGTGAAGTGCACCAGTCCCTCCTGCAGCAAAGCACCCCCACAGCATGATGCTGCCACCCCCGTGCTTCACGGTTGGGATGGTGTTCTTCGACTTGCAAGCTACCACGTTTTTCCTCCAAACATAACGATGGTCATTATGGCCAAACAGTTCTATTTTTGTTTCATCAGACCAGAGGACATTTGTCCAAAAAGTACGATCTTTGTCGACATGTGCAGTTGCAAACCCGTAGTCTGGCTTTTTTATGGCGGTTTTGGAGCAGTGGCTTCTTCCTTACTGAGCGGCCTTTCAGGTTATGTCGATATAGGACTCGTTTTACTGTGGATATAGATACTTTTGTACCTGTTTACTCCAGCATCTTCACAAGGTCCTTTGCTGTTGTTCTGGGATTGATTTGCACTTTTCGCATCAAAGTACATTCATCTATAGGAGACAGAACGCGTCTCCTTCCTGAGCGGTATGATGGCTGCGTGGTCCCATGGGGATTATACTTGCGTACTACTGTTTGTACAGATGAACGTGGTACCTTCAGGCGTTTAGAAATTGCTCCCAAGGATGAACCAGACTTGTGGAGGTCTACCATTTTTGTTCTGAGGTCTTGGCTGATTTTCTTTAGATTTTCCCATGATGTCAAGCAAAGAGGCACTGAGTTTGAAGGTAGGCCTTCAAATACATCCACAGGTACACCTCCAATTGACTCAAATGATGTCAATTAGCCTATCAGAAGCTTCTAAAGCCATGACATAATTTTCTGGAATTTTCCAAGCTGTTTAAAGGCACAGTCAACTTATTGTATGTAAACTTCTGACCCACTGGAATTGTGATACAGTGAATTATAAGTGAAATAATCTGTCTGTAAGCAATTGTTGGAAAAATTACTTGTCGTGCACAAAGTAGATGTCCTAACCGACATGTCAAAACTATAGTTTGTTAACAAGAAATTTGTGGAGTGGTTGAAAAACAAGTTTTAATGACTCCAACCTAAGTGTATGTAAACTTCTGACTTCAACTATATATACACATACTAATCAGGGGGAATGGGAACCAGGTGTGCGTAATGAGACAAGACAGTCCGCGGTTGGTGGGAATGAACCAGGTCAGTGACGCCTAGAAAGCCGGTGACGTAGACCTCCGGAACTGGTGAACGGAAAGAGCAGCAGTACCGGGGGGGATCCGTGACAGATATTCCTTTTGTCAGGCATGTCATTTTAACATTCTAACAACTGTCTTAATTCTGTGTTTATTTCTCTGTGGGCGTTACGTTGCATGAACGTTTTGCTGTGTGTATGTTAAGATTTGGCAAGGTCACTCTTTCTTTATCCTAACTATCCCATGGGAATCTTGGGTTTACATGCGGAAAGTAAAGACAGAGTCAAGGCCCTGTAATGAATGCTTTAGCGGTACGACTTGGATTTATTTATGAGCAGAATTAGCCAGTGTCAGATTAAATGGCTGTGCGGTTATGGAGGTCTAAAAGCAGCCTGAATGTTTTATAAACCTAGTGGGATTCCATAGCAACAGCAGCGAGTTTCAAGTGGAGACTGCTTGCACACAGACTGGTTCCTTATTTACAGTAGTCAGGCACAGCAAAACAACCTAGCTGTTAAATGTCACAAAATATACAGATGTATTGGGGGGAAAGTATTTATTTTCTTTACTGGTACATTGGGGAGAGTAGATGAGGGTGATTTGAGGGTAATACATGCTGGGGAAAAAGAATAAGCTGGTGATTCCTAATATTGTAATCGAGGGGGATGATTGATTGCTAAAGTTTCAATTTGGAAATGAGAATGTTCCCATGGATAAGATCGAACAAACGTTCTAATGGAATATAATGTGATTAGTTGACAACTATTACCTAAATCTCTCGTGGACAGATCTACGTAAACATAACTGGTACTGTCACCATCCTATGGCAGTGGTTCTCACATTTTTGTTTTTGCCTTAGCACTACAAAGCTGATTCAAATGATCAACTCATCAAGCTTTGATTATTTGAATGGGGTGTGAAGTGCAAAGGCAAAAAAAACAACATGAGGGCCCCCAGGGCCAGAATTGAGAACCACTGTCCTATGGGATGTGTAAGATAACGAGCAGCATTAGTTCCGGGTATTGGGTTTTCGTTTTTATTTGGACGTATCAGGATTGGGCAAAGGTGGTGCTAAAACTGGTGTGCCCACACGAATGATATACACTGAGTATACAAAACATTAAGAACACCTGCTCTTTCCATGACAGACTGACCAGGTGAATACTGGTGAACACCATGATCCCTTTTTGATGTCACTTGTTAAATCCACTTCAATCATTGTAGATGAAGGGGAGGAGACAGGTTAAAGAAGGATTTTTAAGCCTTGAGACAGTTGAGACATGGATTGTGTATGTGTGCCATTGAGGGTGAATGGGCAAGACAAATCATTTAAGTGCCTTTGAACGGGGTATGGTTGTAGGTGCCAGGCACACTCAATATTAGGAAAGTGTTCCTAATGTTTGGTATACTTGGTGTATGTTTTCTCATTTCTTATTGGCTTACTATATTCCCACAGGAGAATATTCTGGAGAGGATCCACCTGCACATTGTGCCTGAGGAGACAGATGCCTGCACCTCCAAGTCCTGCATCACACATCAGAAGTTTGCCATGACGCTCTACGAACAGGTTCGAGGAAACCACTAGCATCTGGCAACACCCCCCCACACACACAGGTCCATATCCAGTTGCAGGCACGTGTATTACACACACACACTCCATCCATCAGGGGTGCAGCAGCAGGCACATGGATCACTGTCTGAGATGGGAGCTACCCAATCCGTCATGTCTCCAGAGTGGGGCTACTCCTCTGGAATACAGAGGGTGGTTTTCCTCGGATCTCTGGGAGCGGTAGCAGTACAAGACGAATAATATCACATAAGATCGCCACGTATTTTTTCCCCCACAAACCCTCCCTGCGGATATGATGTTCATCTATGATACCATGTCCCAAAACTCCAGAGCAGTCCTGTCATCAATGTATCAGACAGCTTTGGTGATGCAGAGGTGGCCAACTCTCCTCTCTGAGAGCAAGTAGGTTTGCAGACATTTGTTCCAGCCCTGCTTTAACACGCCTGACTCAGTTAATCAGCTGCTCATCAGGACCTTGATTAGTGGAATCAAGTGTGTTAGAGTAGGGTTGGAACAAAAGCCTATACACCCAGTAGCTCTCTAGCTGGAAGGTTGCTTTGATGAGTAGCCTAGGTTTCAGTAGAGGCCCTATAGTTTACTCTGGCGTATTTGGCAGGCTGCATTTGCCTAAAAGATGGATGACTTATACACTTGGGTTAGACACATTAGAAGTCCTTTAGAACAGGGCCAGCACCGAGTTTGGAAAACCCTGCTTTAGAACACCTTTATAAGTACTCTTCCTCCCGGGGAAGGACTGCCCGTTCCATGATCTCGCCATCACGGTTGACAACTCTGTTGTGTCCTCCTCCCAGAGTGCGAAGAGCCTTGGCGTGACCCTGGACAACACCTTGTCGTTCTCCGCTAACATCAAGGCGGTGACCCGATCCTGTAGGTTCACGCTCTACAACATTCGGAGAGTACGACCCTGCCTTACACAGGAAGCGGCACAGGTCCTAATCCAGGCACTTGTCATCTCCCGTCTGGATTACTGCAACTCGCTGTTGGCTGGGCTCCCTGCCTGTGCCATTAAACCCCTACAACTCATCCAGAATGCCGCAGCCCGTCTGGTGTTCAACCTTCCCAAGTTCTCTCACGCCACCCCGCTCCTCCGCACACTCCACTGGCTTCCAGTTGAAGCTCGCATCTGCTACAAGACCATGGTGCTTGCCTACAGAGCTGTGAGGGGAACGGCACCTCCGTACCTTCAGGCTCTGATCAGTCCCTACACCCAAACGAGGGCATTGCGTTCATCCACCTCTGGCCTGCTGGCCCCCCTACCTCTGCGGAAGCACAGTTCCCGCTCAGCCCAGTCAAAACTGTTCGCTGCTCTGGCACCCCAATGGTGGAACAAGCTCCCTCAAGACGCCAGGACAGCGGAGTCACTCACCACCTTCCGGAGACACTTGAAACCCCACCTCTTTTTAAGGAATACCTGGGATAGGATAAAGTAATCCTTCTACCCCCCCTTACACCACCCCCCCCCCCCCCAAAAAAAGTAAAAAAATAAACATATTGTAAAGTGTTTATCCCACTGCCTATAAGGTGAATGCACCAATTTGTAAGTCGCTCTGGATAAGAGCGTCTGCTAAATGCCGTAAATGTAAATGTACTCTGGTAAAAAAAAAAACATGGTCTACATGATAGATCAGAGGTACTGATATCTGAGCCTTGAGGTCATGTGTAGTGCAGGTATTGTTTTCTTCTTGGTAGTTTATTAATTGATCTGTACGTACTGGAAACTTCACCCTGAAACTGAAAACCAGCAATGCTTTTGACCTCAAGGCCCGGAGTTAAGGGGGCAATAGATTAAGTCTGAAGACCGGACACAAACCACAACCCACCCGCCACTTTTCCTTTCATCTCTGACATACACTCCACTCTCTCCCATCACAGTTTACACAAACACCCTACAGTAGTAATTTCCCCATAACCGTCCCCAAACTACTACCCCTCGCAAAATGACACGCTGACTTGATAATTATTGCTTGGCAGTGGCTAAGCGGCGCCTAGCTAATGGCCATGTGTCTGTGTCGTGTTCCTGTTCCCCTCTCCCCTGCAGTCTGTCTGCCGTAGCTGTGGGGCATCCTCCGACCCCCTGCCCTTCACTGAGCTAGTGCATTATGTCTCCACCACTGCCCTCTGGTAAGCCATGCTTATTGTTTTCGAACTGACATCACACAGAACACATTTCTCTATGTTCCTCGTAGGGTTACTGAGTGACTTTTGTACTTTCTAGCTTTGTCTCTCTCTAATATACACGCGCACACAGGTGCACATGCAAGCATATTTATCTCTATCCTTCTCCATCTCTTTACCTTTCTTTCCTTGTCTCACACTCTTTCATTCTCTGGTTCACTCAGTCAACAGGTGTATCAGAGGCGGGACCAGTCATTTGGAGAGCTGCTGCAAGCGGCCAGCACCATCGGGGATTCCCGCAACTGTCCGGTAAGTGGCTGCCCCATCAAGCATTAAGAAAGTCATGCATGTCAATGGAAAATTTGTGCAAAGACTATCGCACACAAGTCAAGTCAGGATGCACCTCCATCTCCATCACACTAAACAACTACTAAGGAGGAGAAATTCGGAAAATCACTAGCAAGACAACAGCAGAAAAATAAACTGTGAAATTGTATTTATGGTTCTTGGTACTTAGTTAGTTAGTTGGCTAGTTACTTTGCTTAGTTAGTTAGTTAAGCTGGTTAGTTAGCTCTGCTCCCCTTGTTACATATCTTGCCTCTCTCTGTCATCAGAGTAACTGTGGCCAGAGGATCAAGATCCGCCGTGTCCTCATGAACTCTCCAGAGATAGTCACCATCGGCTTCGTGTGGGACTCGGACCAGTCGGACCTCACAGAAGACGTCATTCGCTCGCTGGGGCCACACCTCAACCTTTCCGGGGTAAGGACATCAAGCCATCAGGGACCAAAAGCACATTACTACGAAGCTCAGTTCAGTAGGGTAGAGCTATGTCAGTCGGTCTGCTCTTGTGTTTTGTTCAATGAAAGTGCACCTACTACCATACCCCATTCAAAGGCACTTCAATTGTCTCAAGGCTTAAACATCCTTCTTTAACCTGTCTCCTCCACTTCATCTACACTGATTGATTTAACAAGTGACATCAATAAGGGATCATAGCTTTCACCTGGATTCACCTGGTCAGTCTATGTCATGGAAAGAGAAGGTGTCCTTAATGTTTTGTACTCTCAGTGTATCTAAAGTTGGATAGCACTTTATAATAATGTAACAAAGCATTTATAATGGATTAGTAAATAGTTCATTCATAATGTATTAATCATTACTCCATTCATAAGATGTTTAACACTCAGAGCACCAGAATTCCATAACTACTAGAATGGCCATGATGGTCATTCTGACCGTTGATATTTCAAGTGTATAAATATTCTATAATAAATTGCTAAATTAATGCTTTTATTATGTTAAGATAGGTCATAAGAAACCTCAGGACACAAAATGTAAATTGTAATCAGTCAGAAAATGTATTGATTGATTTAGAAGCGATAGTGATGCATACCCAGCTGGCCTGTCCACACTACATCTAACTACATTGAAACTAATTTCACACACAAAATAATAAATTATGCCTAAAGACAAGATTGAATTGACAATAGTCTGATGGGTGACAATATTATCAATTGTCAAATCGAGAATGAAGAGACGGAGGACCTGCACAGTGTGCATTGACAAAGAAGTGAGGAGTGTACCGAATAGCACTTGAGCGTACCAAATAGCACTTCTTCCATATCATCCTACAGAGTCCATGCAGGCCAGACGTTATGATTGCTACAGTGAGGGAAAAAAGTATTTGATCCCCTGCTGATTTTGTACGTTTGCCCACTGACAAAGACATGATCAGTCTATAATTTTAATGGTAGGTTTATTTGAAAAGTGAGAGACAGAATAACAACAAAAAAATCCAGAAAAACGCATGTCAATAATGTTATAAATTGATTTGCATTTTAATGAGGGAAATAAGTATTTGACCCCTCTGCAAAACATGACTTAGTACTTGGTGGCAAAACCCTTGTTGGCAATCACAGAGGTCAGACGTTTCTTGTAGTTGGCCACCAGGTTTGCACACACCTCCTCTTTGCAGATCTTCTCCAAGTCATTAAGGTTTCGAGGCTGACGTTTGGCAACTCGAACCTTCAGCTCCCTCCACAGATTTTCTATGGGATTAAGGTCTGGAGACTGGCTAGGCCACTCCAGGACCTTAATGTGCTTCTTCTTGAGCCACTCCTTTGTTGCCTTGGCCGTGTGTTTTGGGTCATTGTCATGCTGGAATACCCATTTTCAATGCCCTGGCTGAGGGAAGGAGGTTCTCACCCAAGATTTGATGGTACATGGCCCCGTCCATCGTCCCTTTGATGCGGTGAAGTTGTCCTGTCCCCTTAGCAGAAAAACACCCCCAAAGCATAATGTTTCCACCTCCATGTTTGACGGTGGGGATGGTGTTCTTGGGGTCATAGGCAGCATTCCTCCTCCTCCAAACACGGCGAGTTGAGTTGATGCCAAAGAGCTCGATTTTGGTCTCATCTGACCACAACACTTTCACCCAGTTCTCCTCTGAATCATTCAGATGTTCATTGGCAAACTTCAGACAGGCCTGTATATGTGCTTTCTTGAGCAGGGGGACTTTTGCGGGCGCTGCAGGATTTCAGTCCTTCACGGCGTAGTGTGTTACCAATTGTTTTCTTGGTGACTATGGTCCCAGCTGCCTTGAGATCATTGACAAGATCCTCCCGTGTAGTTCTGGGCTGATTCCTCACCGTTCTCATGATCATTGCAACTCCACGAGGTGAGATCTTGCATGGAGCCCCAGGCAGAGGGAGATTGACAGTTATTTTGTGTTTCTTCCATTTGCGAATAATCGCACCAACTGTTGTCACCTTCTCACCATGCTGCTTGGCGATGGTCTTGTAGCCCATTCCAGCCTTGTGTAGGTCTACAATCTTGTCCCTGACATCCTTGGAGAGCTCTTTGGTCTTGGCCATGGTGGAGATTTTGGAATCTGATTGATTGATTGCTTCTGTGGACAGGTGTCTTTTATACAGGTAACAAGCAGAGATTAGGAGCACTCCCTTTAAGAGTGTGCTCCTAATCTCAGCTCGTTACCTGTATAAAAGACACCTGGGAGCCAGAAATCTTTCTGATTGAGAGTGGGTCAAATACTTATTTCCCTCATTAAAATGCAAATCAATTTGTAAAATTTTTGACATGCTATTTTCTGGATTATTTTGTTGTTATTCTGTCTCTCACTGTTCAAATTAACCTACCATTAAAATTATAGACTGATCATTTCTTTGTCAGTGGGAAAACGTACAAAATCAGCAGGGGATCAAATACTTTTTTCCCCTCACTGTATACCCTATCAGAAAGAGCAGATTCCAAGGCTTTTAATGAACCTATGTTTGCCAAACAACTCTACAAATTGCGCGGATGGTCTCTGTTTCAAAATATACATTTTTCCAAGAATAACCGTGGCTCCATGCATTCCTCATGTGAGTAGGCTACTGGTGACAATCAGCAATAGCCATTTGGGAAAAATATCCTTTATTTTCTTCTATATATGTGTGTTGACTGTGGTAGGGCAGGGCCTGGGATGTCTGCTAAAGTTGATTTCATTGGTATGGCGCAGCCATAGATTGGCATGGCGCAGCCATAGCCTTGTCTTCTAAGTACAGATAAATAAAACTCAAAGCATGCTATTCTGTTCTTTTTAAATAAATTGCCTTGTATTTTTTTTTTATGACCTTCCTAAACAAAATATTAATGGATTTCTTTGTGATTGTGTACACTGAGAATACAAAACATTAACAACACCTGCTCTTTCCATGACATAGACTGACCAGGTGAATCCATGTGAAAGCTATGATCCCTTATTGATGTCACTTGGTAAATCCACTTCAATCAGTGTAGATGAAGGGGAGGAGACGGGTTAAAGAAGGATTTTTAAGCCTTGAGACAATTGAGACATGGATTGTGTATGTGTGCCATTCCGAGGGTGAATGGGCAAGACAAAATATTTAAGTGCCTTTGAACGGGGTATGGTAGTAGGTGCCTGGTGCACCGGTTTGTGTCAAGAACTGCAACGCTGCTGGGTTTTTCACGTTCAACAGCTTCCCGTGTGTATCAAGAATGGTCCACCACCCAAAGGACATCCAGCCAACTTGATACAACTGTGGGAAGCATTGGAGTCAACATGGGCCAGCATTACTGTGGAACACTTTCGACACAGTCCATGCCCTGATGAATTGAGGCTGTTCTGAGGGCAAAAGGGGGCGGTGCAACTCAATATTAGGAAGGTGTTCCTATTGTTTGATATACTCAGTGTACATTAAAACTAGCAAGGCAGAGAGCATTATAATGACTCAAAACAAATGTACATTTTAAAGTCATGTCCCCCTCGTCCTTGACTTTTCCTAAATAAGTCTATATAATACACTCTCATTGGTAGACTCTTAAAATCACAAACAGAACTGGAGTATTTGTATTTATTATGGATCTCCATTAAAAATGCAGAGTTGGTCCAGCAAAATTAAGGCAGTTATATACAAATAAAAACATGACATTTCACAACAGATTTCACAACACATTAAGTGTGTGCCCTTAGGCCACTACTCTACTACCACATATCTACAACACAATCCATGTGTACGTGTGTGTATAGTGCGTATGTTATCGTGTGTGTGTGTCTCTTCACAGCCCCCGCTATTCCATAAGGTGTAGTTTTATCTGTTTATCTGGAGTTCTAAGCAGTTTTAGGAGGGCATGTAATTTTTTTTATGGTTTTCCCTGGCTTGTACTTTTCCTTCTCCGATAGTTGAATGCGCCGTGCCCAGTTGATAATTATCCGGATAATTGCCTCGAAACTGGCCTAATCACCAATTGTGAATGAAGAACAGGGCGGGCCGTTCTGTTGTATTCATCTATTGTAATTATAATCTCAAAACGGTGTACCCTATATCAGTCCACCGAATCCAAGCAATTTTATCAGTTTACTCAAGGACTACTTGGAGTAGGCTACACAGTGAGAGTGTGTCATTTACAATGGTAAGACCAAGATGAATGGATGCTGCATTAGAGTTGCTACAAGATCTGAATGAAAACAACCTAAATGGCGGGGAAGAAATGGATCATGACATCTGATTATTATTATTCTGATTCATGCTGAACGGCTTTCCATATCTGGGAAAGCAGATGAGTCTCGGATAATGTTTTGGATCAGATGGCACGGCTGTACTAGGTGAAAGGAGGAACTCAAGCAGTGCTTGAACACCATGAGCAGGAAAGACATCATCAGTCTGGCACACAGGCTACGTGAGCGACATATGAGGGCCAAGGTAGCAGCAAAGATTCCACGGGAGCCATTGTGCAAGCCAAATTGCGCACAGCTCCCGGGGAGGAGAAACTGCAAGGTGGGCAGATGCACTCGGAACAGAACCCACAACACCTGTTTCAGCTGCAAGCGACTTATTTGTGGGAAGTGTTGCAATCAAGTGAAAGTGATGAAGATGTGTGGTGACTGTTAGGACAAGGGATAACAGCTAAATGTGATTCAACTGTTGCGTGAAGACGCACACCATACTGTAAGCACGAGCGAGGCCACAAATAATGTGTCCAATAACTGACAATAATAGACTATTTTTGACCGCTGTCATATTGACACTTATATTCATTATAATGCCATTATGTGTGCAGATTTTCACTATTCACAATGTTTAGGCTACTGATATCTTCTGATATTTTCTTAATTGACTACGTGTCTTGCGGTTTGGGTATTTTTATTTGTTTTGCCGTTAGTAAAATATTTTACTTTGTTTCAACGCACATGCTTTTTGTTTCATAGTTATAACAAAAGGCACGCCACTAATAAAATAGATTTTATTCTTGAAATTCAGTGTTTTATTTACTGTTTTTTCGTTTTTACATATACTGTAGCCTACAGCAGGGTTTCCCAAACTCTTTGTATGTTTAGTTTTTTGCCCTAGCACTACACAGCTGATTCAAATAATCAACTAATCATCAAGGTCTGAAAATGTGAATCAGCTGTGTAGTGTTAGGGCAAAAAACTAAACGTGCACCCCTTGGGGTCCCGAGGACAGAGTTTGGGAAACGCTGGGCCCTACAGTAACATACACTAATGAAAATGCTGTTATGTTCTTTCAAATATTTACATTTGTTACCTAAGACCTTCATAAACGCAACCAAATGACATTGGCACGAAGGGGGGGTGGGGGGGTCCAACGAGGCCAGGCTTTTCCAGTTAAATGGATTTATTAGACTGGTGGCTATTGGTACTCCTCGAGGTCCGGCTATTCTACTGTTAAATATGCATTTAGTCAGCTTTGAGGATGAAATGCTTATGAATTTATCTGAAAGTACTGCTAGAATGTAAAATACACATTTAGGATAAGTCCGGGATAGGTGGGTTCAAGGTTTTTATTGAAATTAAGTTATTGAAATGACAACATTTAAAACGGTGTTAATATAGGTCCTTATAAACCATTTACTAATCATTAGTTACGTATTTTTGCGTGGCCTCCTCTAAAGTGTGGGCTATTTATACTTTATAAATACTTTTATAAATGTTTTAAGTGACCAGTGTAATAAAAATAAAAAAAGATGGACATTATAAAGTGCTACCTAAAGTTGGATCTTTGATGGAGGACAAGCGGGAACAAGCCAAATACCTGTGAAGAAACTTTGAGATGGCCAAAAACCCTCACACAAGATAAAAAAACTTCTTATTCCAAGATTCACAATAATCTTCGACTGTCAGCCCGTACAAAAACAGATTAGTCAATTAGTCTGATTAAAATGGCCAAGGCACTGATTGCACCAAAACAAAATGTCTGCCTCAGCCCCAAAATTACATGAACCCTCGAATAGGAAAAACAACAAAAACAATACACTATTGTGAATTTGTCAAGCTCCTAAAATATGTTTGGTTTTACTCAATTTGCTTTCTGTCTTGTGTTTTTGTTTGTTTGTTGGAGCCTCCACAGCTGGCGTTCCTTGCCCTGGTTGGGTTGGGGTCTGTTTTATTTTGGTGCCGTGGAGCGTATGTGGGAAATAAAGTGGGTCTTCATCCCTCTAAGTCGGAGCGTTGCGTAAGCAGTGTGCGGTGCGTTGCCCAGTTAGCCCACGTCGCTGATCAAAAACCCCCTGCTGCACAGGGCCAGTTCATGTCAATGCTTCCTCAGTGCCACGATGGAAGGGCACTTTGTGTGTGTGTGTGTGAGCGAGTCAGTGTGTTTATAGTATGTGTAAGAGAATGGTGCGTGTGTGAGAAAGGGGGAGGAGTCCTGCCATGTATGGAAGATGTGGTGTGTGTTTTTCTGTGAGTTGGCACTGTGTACACGTTTTGGAGTACAGAGTGTCCTTGGCTTGGGCGTGCAGGAGGTTTAATTTGTAACACTCAACTCTGGCTGACACTATTCCTGTTCCTTTAAGATTTTTTTTTTTTTTGCAGACATGGAATGAGCTTTGATAAAACCTACTACAAACCTAAGACAAACTCTTACAGACCAGGCCCAACATATTACACAACATCCCTCTTGAAGACTACAGGCACAGATTCCTCTTTGCTCCTCTCCTTGTTTTGAGTGCATTCCAGAACTGGATTAGTCTAGCAGAACCCCCACCAAGTACCACAAAGGGCTTGACTCATTCTCGTACTGTTCATGTGACTGTGCTGGGTGTCAGAGAGAACCTCCCCCTGCCTAGGAATCCATTGTCTCCCCTAGCCAAAGAGAACTGGCCATTCAGGAAATATACAGTGCTATGAAAAAGTATTTGCTCCCTTTCTAATTTTCTCTACTTTTGCATATTTGTGATACTGAATGTTATCAGATCTACAACCAAAACCTAATATTAGATTAAGGGAACATAAGTGAACAAATAACACAAGTACATATTTATTTCATAAACAAAGTTATGCAACACCCAATTCCCCTGTGTGAAAAAGTAATTCCCCCCTTACACTCAATAACTGGTTGTGCCACCTTTAGCTGCAATGACTCCAACCAAATGCTTCCTATAGTTGTTGATCAGTCTCTCACGTCGCTGTGAAGGAATTTTGGCCCACTCTTCCATGCAGAACTGCTTTAACTCAGTGACGTGTGGGTTTTCAAGCATGAACTGCTCGTTTCAAGTCCTGCCACAACATCTCAATTGGGATTAGGTGTGGACTTTGACTAGGCCATTCCAAAACTTCCAATTTGTTGCTTTTTAGCAATTTGCATGTAGACTTGATTGTGTGTTTTGGATCATTGTCTTGCTGCATGACCCAGCTGCGCTTCAGCTTCAGCTCACAGACGGATGGTCTGACATTCTCCTGTAGAATTCTCTGATACAGAGCAGAATTCATGGTTCCTTCTATTAAGGCAAGTCATCCAGGTCCTGAGGCAGCAAATCATCCCCAAACCATCACACCACCACCACCACCATGCTTGACCTTTGGTATGATGTTCTTACTGTGGAATGCAGTGTTTGGTTTTCGCCAGGCATAATGGGACCCATCTCGTCCAAAAAGTTGACTCAAGTTTGCCAAAAAGCACCTGGATGATCATCAATACTCTTGGGAGAACGTTGTATGGACAGATGATTCAAAAGTATAACTTTTTGGACGACATGGTTCCAGTAATGGTGGCACAACCAGTTATTGAGTGTAAGAGTGCAATTACTTTTTCACACAGGGGAATTGGGTGTTGCATAACTTTGTTTATGAAATAAATATGTAATTGTTGTGTTATTTGTTCACTTATGTTCCCTTTATCTAATATTAGGTTTTGGTTGAAGATCTGATAACATTCAGTATCACAAATATGCAAAAGTAGAGAAAATTAGAAAGGGGGCAAATACTTTTTCATAGCACTGTAGGTGGGAAAAACTGGTTATTTTACAACCTCCTCATCCAGCGGTCTATTCAAACTGGTGGGAGGCTGTGGTTATACTGATAATGGCCTGAACTAGCTAGATGGAAACTGCTAGATATGTGGAAATGTACAAAGCAAACGAGACCCGCAACAGTCCAAGTTGAAGGGTATTTATACTGTAAAATGCTAACGTGTGGATGACAAACATGATAGTTTTGGCCATACAGTGAGGGGAAAAAAGTATTTGATCCCCTGCTGATTTTGTACGTTTGCCCACTGACAAAGACATGATCAGTCTATAATTTTAATGGTAGGTTTATTTGAACAGTGAGAGACAGAATAACAACAACAAAATCCAGAAAAACACATGTCAAAAATGTTATAAATTTTTTTGCATGTTAAAGAGGGAAGTATGTATTTGACCCCTCTGCAAAACCCTTGTTAGCAATCACAGAGGTCAGACGTTTCTTGTAGTTGGCCACCAGGTTTGCAAAATCTCAGGAGGGATTTTGTCCCACTCCTCTTTGCAGATCTTCTCCAAGTCATTAAGGTTTCGAGGCTGACTTTTGGCAACTCGAACCTTCAGCTCCCTCCACAGATTTTCTATGGGATTAAGGTCTGGAGACTGGCTAGGCCACTCCAGGACCTTAATGTGCTTCTTCTTGAGTCACTCCTTTGTTGCCTTGGCTGTGTGTTTTGGGTCATTGTCATGCTGGAATACCCATCCATGACCCATTTTCAATGGCCTGGCTGAGGGAAGGAGGTTCTCACCCAAGATTTGACAGTACATGGCCCCGTCCATCGTCCTTTTGATGCGGTGAAGTTGTCCTGTCCCCTTAGCAGAAAAACATCCCCAAAGCATAATGTTTCCACCTCCATGTGTGACGGTGGGGATGGTGTTCTTGGGGTCATAGGCAGCATTCCTCCTCCTCCAAACACGGCGAGTTGAGTTGATGCCAAAGAGCTCGATTTTGGTCTCATCTGACCACAACACTTTCACCCAGTTCTCCTCTGAATCATTCAGATGTTCATTGGCAAACTTCAGACGGCCCTGTATATGTGCTTTCTTGAGCAGGGGGACCTTGCGGGCGCTGCAGGATTTCAGAGTTTCACGGCGTAGTGTGTTACCAATTGTTTTCTTGGTGACTATGGTCCCAGCTGCCTTGAGATCATTGACAAGATCCTCCCGTGTAGTTCTGGGCTGATTCCTCACCATTCTCAGGATCATTGCAACTCCACGAGGTGAGATCTTGCATGGAGCACAAGGCCGAGGGAGATTGACAGTTCTTTTGTGTTTCTTCCATTTGCGAATAATCGCACCAACTGTTGTCACCTTCTCACCAAGCTGCTTGGTGATGGTCTTGTAGCCCATTCCAGCCTTGTGTAGGTCTACAATCTTGTCCCTGACATCCTTGGAGAGCTCTTTGGTCTTGGCCATGGTGGAGAGTTTGGAATCTGATTGATTGATTGCTTCTATGGACAGGTGTCTTTTATACAGGTAACGAACTGAGATTAGGAGCACTCCCTTTAAGAGTGTGCTCCTAATCTCAGCTCGTTACCTGTATAAAAGACGCCTGGGAGCCAGAAATCTTTCTGATTGAGAGGGGGTCAAATACTTATTTCCCTCATTAAAATGCAAATCAATTTCTAACATTTTTGACATGCGTTTTTCTGGATTTTTTTGTTGTTATTCTGTCTCTCACTGTTCAAATAAACCTACCATTAAAATTATAGACTGATCATTTTTTTGTCAGTGGGCAAACATACAAAATCAGTAGGGGATCAAATACTTTTTTCCCTCACTGTATGTGACTGAGAATGGTCAAACCCGGGTCTGCTGCATGATACAAGACTGTGTTAGTCCATTGAGCTAAAGCCTAGGCATTAGTTCGGGGAGCTAATGTAAGTCTTCAGGCAAGGTTACTCGTGGGCAGCATGGGATTGTTTTTGTGTATTTGGGTCATTTCTATCTCATTTGATGCAAATAAAGTAATTGAAATGTGTGTATGTGTCCGCAGCTCTTCTACCGGGTGACCGACGAGCACGCCAAAAAGGGAGAGTTGCTATTGGTTGGGATGATCTGTTACTCCAGCCGCCACTACTGTGCCTTCGCCTTCCACACCAAATCCGCCAAATGGGTCTTCTTCGACGACGCCACCGTCAAAGAGGTGAGAGCTCGTTACAAAATACACACTCTCCAAGCAAGTAAGCAAACATACACGCTTACCTGACCCAATGCCCTTATAGCCTCAGTCTTTTGCTGTGGTGAGATATGATGCTCGGACCATACGCGCACAAGCGCGCACATACGTTTTATAACTAGACTAATTAGACTAACTAAAGTAATGTTAGGTTGGTAACTGGCATGAATAGTTCTTCGCCTATTTAAATAAAACAATAAACACAATCTGATATCAATGGAACAGTTTCTAGAAACTGATTTAGATATTATAGGCTACCTGCAGTCCACAGAGAGCTAAACTGTCCCCAGCCAGCAACTCAAAGCACAGTGCATAAATGTACTTGTCTGAACTGATAAAAGCGGGCAGTTTTACGAGCGAGCAAGGAGCACCCTGTTCCATCTCTTATCTCCATCGCCACAATCTTTATCGTCTATAAGGGCCCCATCGACCGCCCTTCACCACCCCTGGGTTGATGAGCCTTCAGTGGGGTTGAAAAGTCTGCTATAATCACCACCACCACCCACACAGACACATACGCAAGCACACATACACGCACGAAAGCAAGGAAGCGCGCGCACGCACACACACACACACACACACACACTGGGCAAAAACTGTTTGAATCAACCCAAAAAAATGAAGGCGACGACGTAGAATCAACGTGGAAAACTAATTGGATTTGCAAAAAGTAATCAAGTTAAGGGCTTTTCGTCTTTTTTTTCCCTCACAACTTTTAACTTAAATCCAATGACATGGTGAAATGTTTTGTTGGTTTCTGACAACAAAAATATAAACCCAACATGCAACAATTTCATAGATTTTACTGAGTTACACTTCATATGAGGAAATCTGTCAATTGAGATCAATTCATTAGGCCCTAATCTATGGATTTCACATGACTGGTAATAAATTTTATTAATTTATTTATTTAAATCCCGATTAGCCAATGCCAATCTGTTGGTCACAGACACCTTTTTAAAAAATGGGCCTCACAAATGGGCCCCAGGATCTCATCACAGTATTTTTGTGCATTCAAATTGCCATTGAAAAAATGCAATTATGTTCGTTGTCCGTAACTTATGCCTGCCCATACCATAACCCCGCCGCCACCATGGGGCACTCTGTTCACAACGTTGGCTTCAGAAAACCGCTCACCCACATGACGCCATACACATTGTCTGCAGTGGTGAGGCTGGTTAGATGTTCTGCCAAATTCTCTAAACCGACATTGGAGGCGGCTTATGGTAGAGAAATTAACAATAAATTATCTGGCACTAGCGGTGGTGAACATTCCTGCAGTCAGCAAGCCAATTGCATGCTCCCTCAAAACTTGAGACATCTGTGGCATTGTGTTGTGTGACAAAACTGCACATTTTAGAGTGTCCTTTTATTGTCCCCAGCACAAGGTGCACCTGTGTAATGATCATGCTGTTTAATCAGCTTCTTGATATGCCACACCTGTCAGATGGATGGATTATATTGGCAAAGGAGAAATACTCACTAACAGGGATGTAAACAAATTTGTGCCCAAAATCTGAGAGAAATAAGCTTTTTGTGCGTATGGAACATTTCTGGGATCTTTTATTTCAGTTTATGAAACATGGGACCAACACTTTACATGTTGCGTTTATATTTTTATTCAGTGCAAATCAAAACTGGACGTTGAACTGTTGTCTGTGCCCAGTGGGACACCTTTTCCCCCCTTCATTTTAGTTGTTGAGCAGACACTCTTATCTAGAGTGACTTACAAATAGTGCATTCATCTTAAGATGGCTAGGTGAGACAACCACACAGTCATAGTCAGTACATTTTTCCTCAAAGTAGCTATCAACAATGTCAGAGCTAGTAAGAAAGGTGAGTGTGAGTGTTAGTTCAAGAAAGGCAAGGGTGTTAGTTTTAATTTCTTTTTTTGTGTGGGTGGGAGACACATTCACAAGGGCACACACACACACTCACAAGTGTACAAACACCCAGACACACAGCAGCACTTGTACAGTAGTAGTGTACTAGGGTTTCCCAATAAACTATTAAAGCAGTTAATTGCATCGTCAGTCATCCACAGTTGAGCTACACTATTTAGTGGACTTCTTGGATATATTGAAATGACTCGTGGTAGGAATTGGTCTTTTGCGTGCAAATGACTGTGTGTGTGCGTGTATATATGCATAAGTGAGTGTGCTAATGAACGGCACAGTGTATGTGTCCAGTCCATTTGACTGGACTGCGGTTCAGGGGCTGGCTGGCGCCGAGTCAATACATCAGCAGCTTATGCTGTCTGTGCACTTCAGCCCTACTGGGACAGAGGGCTACAGTACAGCACCCTTAGCCAGATAAATAATACTCCATATACCTGCTGTATTGCTTCTTATTCTCTCACTGCCTCACACCAAGTAACGAGCAGACATGCCCTACAGTTTATGGATAGCTTTTAAAACTTCAACAATTGGAATTTGTTATTTTATTAGGATCCCCATTAGCTGTTGCAAAAGCAGCAGCTACTCTTCCTGGGGTCCACATGAAACATGACATAATACAGAACATTAATAGACAAGAACAGCTCAAGGACAGAACTACATACTTTTTTAAAGGCACACGTAGCCTACATATCAATACATACACAAACTATACAGTGCATTCGGAAAGTATTCAGACCCCTTGACTTTTTCCAAATTTTGTTACGTTACAGCCTTATTCTAAAATGGATTAAAACGTTTTTTTTTAAAACATCAATCTACACACAATACCCCATAATTACAAAGCGAAAACAGGTTCTGAAATTTTTGCAAATGTATTAAAAATAAAAAACATACCTTATTTACATAAGTATTCAGACCCTTTGCTATGAGACTCGAAATTGAGCTCAGGTGCATCCTGTTTCCATTGATCATCCTTGATGTTTCTACAACTTAATTGGAGTCCACCTGTGGTAAATTCAGTTGATTGGACATGATTTGGAAAGACACACGCCTGTCTATATAAGGTCTCACCATTGACAGTTCATGTCAGAGCAAAAACCAAGCCATGAGGTCGAAGGAATTGTCCGTAGAGCTCTGAGACAGGATTGTGTCGAGGCACAGATCTGGGGAAGGGTGGCAAAAAATGTCTGCGGCATTGAAGGTCCCCAAGAACACAGTGGCCTCCATCATTCTTAAATGGAAGAAGTTTGGAACCACCAAGACTCTTCCTAGAGCTGGCTGCCCGGCCAAACTGAGAAATCAGGGGAGAAGGGCCTTGGTCAGGGAGGTGACCAAGAACTCGATGGTCATTCTGACAGAGCTCCAGAGTTCCTCTGTGGAGATCGGAGAACCTTCCAGAAGGACAACCATCTCTGCAGCACTCCATCAATCAGGCCTTTATGGTAGAGTGGCCAGACGGAAGCCACTCCTCAGTAAAAGGCACATGACAGCCCGCTTGGAGTTTGCCAAAGGCACCTAAATGACTCTCAGACCATGAGAAACAAGATTCTCTGGTCTGATGAAACCATGCTGTGGGGATGTTTTTCAGCGGCAGGGACTGGGAGACTAGTCAAGATCGAGGGAAAGATGAACGGAGCAAAGTACAGAGAGATCCTTGATGAAAACCTGCTTCAGAGCGCTCAGGACCTCAGACTGGGGCGACGGTTCACCTTCCAACAGGACAACGACCCTAAGCACACAGCCAAGACAACGCAGGAGTGGCTTCGGGACAAGTCTCTGAATGTCCTTCAGTGGCCCAGCCAGAGCCCAGATTTGAACCCGATGGAACATCTCTGGAGAGACCTGAAAATAGCTGTGCAGCAATGCTCCCCATCCAACCTGACAGAGCTTGAGAGGATCTGCAGAGAAGAATGGGAGAAACTCCCCAAATACAGGTGTGCCAAGCTTGTAGCGTCATACCCAAGAAGACTCGAGGCTGTAATTTCTGCCAAAGGTGCTCCAACAAAGTACAGAGTAAAGGGTCTGAATACTTATGTAAATGTTGTATTTCAGTTTTTTTTTTTTTTTTTTTTGCACACAAAAAATCCTTTAATTATGGGGTATTGTGTGTAGATTGATGAAAAAACAAAACAATTTAAACCTTTTTAGAATAAGGCTGTAACGTAACAAAATGTGGAAAAAGTGAAGGGGTATGACTACTTTCCGAATGCACTATATTTGACAGGTTGTGTTTTGTTGACTGTCATTCTTGTCATACATTCTTTTTTAATTTATTGTTGCAGCAGCAGTAGTGATTCAGTGTTTCTCCTTTGTGTTTTGTCCCGGGCAAGGAACAGTGTTCACCATCAAAATGTCAACTCAAAGCAACCTCTTCTAACTTTTTTATTTTCCCTCATTTTGCTTTCCTTTCTTCCTCTTCCTCTTTCACTCTCTCTTACCTTCTGCTCCTCTCTCCTCTCTCCCCACTCCTTCATTTGGTTAATTAAGGAGCACACTAGCATCTGTTAGCCTCCAGTCTGCCTCAGGCATTTTCTAGCGAGGCACGCACCTAGCCCAGCTCAGCTAATGTGATTGTGAGACTCCGCTTCAGTGCATGTATTTCACTTAAGATCCAGGACAAAGGGAAAATGTTCATTTGCAGTGCACAGCAATGCCTCCTTGGACATTCAGAGTTTTGTGTGGTATTAGAAAAGTAAAATTCCTCTCTGAACAGTTGGTGACATGCCTGAATCCAATTGTGCTTCTTCTGGTCTATGGTCACCGTATGTTTTTGGGGTAGCGGTTCAAAGATTGTGTCAATCGTTTCTCCAAGGTTTTTGTTTGTGCACTATCCATGCGTCTCATTTTTAAACAAGGCATTAGACATGATTAGACTTGCAGGAGAGTATTCCTGAGAGCCCAACCACTTGAAGTATATCAACGATTTTGGACGAGTCAGTGTTTTCTGAAAGGTGTACACAGATCAGAGCTAGGGTTTGGGGACCTTAACTTTAAATGTAGGTTTTGGCAACTGGTGCTCATCAAATAAATACAAGCACTTCAAAAGTAGTAATGTACATTGTCACTAAACAAAACATCTTCTGAAAAGACCTCTCAGGGTAATGAGATGAGGAAACTGGTCGGTGCCAGTAAGACAAAGGTGACTTCTTGTTTGTGTGTGTGTATGCATGTAGTACACAGACAAACAGCCTTCCAGACGTGCACACACACACACTATTGACCTCCACATCTCCTCTCGTTTATCCTAGATTGGGACTCGGTGGAAAGACGTGGCCACCAAATGCATCAAAGGCCACTTCCAGCCTCTCCTCCTATTCTACTCCAACCCAGACGGCAACGCCATCTCCGTAGACGACGCCTCGCGCCAGAACAGCGACCACTCCCGCTACAAGTCCCCCGTCAACGGAGACGTCCAAGGTATACAAGACATCGGACAAAGGGACATTCTTTTTTCTTTCCTTTTTATGGGAAGAACTACACAACTAGCCCTAGAGTCATGGAATTGTACAGCACAATTTGCAAATCAAAATCATGCAGAAATTCAGTTTTTTCCAGGATGCCAATGGTATGAAGTCAAATCACTTTTCATGTTGTCATCAAACCAAGATGTGACTTCAGGTGCTTTTGCGATGCAGATGCAGTCTATATAATGATCTCTGACTTGAGACAACTTGAGACCAAAATGAGGTCTTGTTCTAGGTTTTTTGGAGACCAGATTAGAACTGTCCCCCTTTCCAAAGTGGTTAAACCACCGTTCCTCAGCTTCACATGAGCCAATTCCCAGGAAACACATACCACGTTTATAATTCATAGTTTATTTTAATTCATGCTTAACAAGGGGGTGTTATATTTAAGTCTGTGCAGTAAATTCACAGCCAGAGGGGGTCCTAAAATACGTTCTTCTAAGAGTAGAGTTCTGCAGCACCAGCCAGTTGGAAGTAATGCCAGCAAGTGTTGACAATGGTGTGACTGTGGTTACAACTTTTTTTTAACAGCGTATCCTGAAATGCACCCTTAACCAAATGACTGCCACTGCCACAGAGCAGTGGTTCTCAAAGTTTTGGCCAGAACCTCCTTTAAATATTTTGGTCAAAGCTTGAGCCCCCTGCCAGATGCAAATGAATGGCTTTTTATGAAGAGTCAGCCCCACCACATTCAGTCTGAGCAAGAATCTGTAAAGAAAAAGTGGATCTACAGTACACGTTGCAGTATGGGGTCAATTGGGTCTGTTCGGGACGCAATTTTGGTGTCTTTTGAAGTCTCGCAATGCATTTGACATTTTTATGTCAAGTGTCTAGACTGTGGATGACCAGAAAAGACGTGCTGTTGACAAAAGTGACTATAACTCTGCAAATACGTGCTGCACTTTAAAACAAGTTTGTGTGCCATCACTTCAGTTGGATTTAGGGTTGCAAAATGTCCTGCTTATTGCCTCCTGATTCCAGGGATATTCAACTGGGATTTCTGGAAAAGCTGTGAATTTTGGGATAGCTGTCGGAATTGAGCAATTCTAGTTGGATTACAGTTTATAAGTGTATTAGCTAACGGTGTTCCAACCGATCAATACTTGATTTGAAACGGAACGACAAACGTTCATGAGCAGAAGGCCTTTAAAAAAAAAATCCACTTCTTTTTCCGTATTATTTATTTATTTCTGACGTCGACCTCAACCATAATACTCATTGCCGTTGGCAAGGGCAGGAAGTTGTTGATTACAACAGCTGAGCATTTCTTTGTGGGTATTAAAAACCTCTGGATTTGTTTAGGGTGTGGTTTATCCCCCTTAATGATCCTCCCTCTAACTCGCTGAGCTGGCCTCGCCCCAGGTCGTCACGTTGACAGCGGCTCACTGGCCTTCAGAGGCAGTGCAGTGTTACAGACGAGCTTAAGAAGAAAGAGGGAACATTTTACTTTTTTAATTGTTATTATGAATTTCAGTTATCACACATTTTTTTTATTGCATAGCGCTCCACTTTTGTATATTTCTTTTTAATTCTCGGGGAGATTTGGGGAATTTACTGAAAAGCTAATGGCATTGAATTACATTACATCTTTACATAATACCTAAGAATTGCTTTTTGGGATTGATGAAATTGATCCCAACCCTGATTTTTCTCACCCTCTTCTCCTTTTCGACCACCCAGCGCCTGAGTCTATAGTTCCAGGCCCCAAGAAGCTGGACCTGACCAAGGAGAACCTGAATGCCCTGCTGGGCTCCGGCGGCTTGAAACAGAAGAGCCAGAACCCCTCTATCCATAGCTCCACCTTTACCAGGGGCAGCGGCCAGACTAGTGGGGGCCGAGGACCAGGTACGACACAAGGGGTTGTGGTTGGGGGGCTGGTGGGAAAGAGATTATGGGAGAGAGGGAGGGATGTGTATTTGTACATACAGGCTCTGGTCAAAAGTTGTGCACTATATAGGAAATAGGGTGCCATTTGGAATTCAGCCTTAGTTATTATTGCACATTCCTTTGTTATTGTGGAGGATGGTGTAATGTCTGTCCTTGTTTTGGTCCCCCTTTGTTGTTACTCCCTGCTAAAAGCCAGCAGCTCAACTGTACAATGTGTTTTGACTGTTTTCTATCCCCCAGCAATGGACAATGTTACCAGTAGCTCAGGGTTTTTGAGAACAGCAAATCCACTCTGAATGACTGACAACAATAGCAGTCAAGTACCTTGTGGGAAAAGCAATGAATTGTCCTCACAACACTTAATTCAGGCAATGGAGTGACTGTGCATGCTATAAGACCAAATTGTCTTATCATTGATTTCAATTGGAGGCCTATACCTTGGAGAGCTGGGAGTGATCATAGCACATATTCACAGAGAATCTGTTCTAGCACATTCTTTGTGCTACAGAGGATGGGTTTGAAATGACTGCAGTGCATATTTCTAGTTCTATCCATCGTCTCTGACTTTCTCCTACGTGGCGAGTGGTGAGAGATAAGACTCGGGAGGAGAGGGAAATGGTTTCCGCGGCGCCGCGGGTTCCACCTCGGTGCGTTTCCCCTCACGCAGCAGACAAGCCTGCCGTATACATCCGCACATTGATCGGCCCTAAAGTTCCCCCCACACTCCCTACCTTACACACTCCGCACTGTTCAATGCATCCATGGGTCTAGTCCGGATAGAAGGGACGGGAGTGGGGTAGAGGAGGGATGGAGGAGGTGAAAGATGGAGTTGGGGTGGCCTAAGTTACTGTAGTTTTGTCTCTGCTTGTGTTGGGCTTTAGAAGCAGAAATAAAGTTCCCACTTTACCCTGCGTGTTTGACTTTGCTACACATAATTTTTGCTCTGTTGCTGCCCCTTGTATTGTCTATTGGAATTCAAGTCACTCTGTATCGGTTTCTCAAAATGACTGTCTTGCAGTGACGCTGGGCACCAGTGATCCTAAGAGCCGTCTGAAGGACATCTCCAGAGAGGTGGCCCAGAAGGCAGGGGAGATCCGGGGAATGCACCCCTCCAGGAGAGACCAGGACAGGACGGAGAAGAGGAGACAGGATGTCCGCCACAGAGGTATGGAACTACACACACACACACACACACACACACAGGCACATACACACATATTTACATGCACACACACACACACACATGAAGAGAAGAACAAAAAAACCGATATGAAACAATACTGTACATACCATTCATGTACACACACACAGACCAATGAAAAGACAAGACAAGATGACCCTTGACACAACGGTGTACACAATACACACGCAAACCACCATTATCAACATACATAACAACAAACCAGCAGGCTTTCACCAAAACAAAAGACTAGCATTTCACCGTACTGGCCCTTACATAATCAACCAGGCAGGGTGGTTTGGGAGCAATGTGTCAGGATAAGGATTAGAACGCTGACATCTGTTCAAGCCTGCCCTCATCACCCCCACCCCCTCCCTTTTAATCTCTAACCCTCTGTCATATTTCTCTCACCTATCCTGTCATTTAATTTCTGTGAACACCAAAGGGGTAGAAACTAGGGGCAAGGTGCTAGGAACTGAAATTGAATTAGCCCCCAAATCCACCATACAACCACAGCTGCCCTGTTTGCACCAGGCTCACATCTCTGTATGTGTGAATGCACCAGGATAACAGAGGCTAGCGTCATGCCCGTGATGAATGGCGAGGCTGGAAGTGACACTACAGTTAATGTAAGTGGAATAAATCCATCTCGAGCGCTGCTCGTGCCCAGGCTAGCAAGCTGACGTCATAGCTACTGGACATGCTTGGAAAAAGAGAAACATAAGAAAGTTAGCATTCGGGTCAGATAGGAAGTGTTGATGTCAATGGGAGACATTGGCTTCATCCTAAATGGCAACCTATTCTCTATATAGTGCACTACTTTTGAACGCAGGTTGAACAAATGTAGTGCACTATGTAGGAAATATAGGATGTCATTTGGGACAGACTCATTTTATAATAATAATAATAATAATTGGTCATTTAGCAGACACTCTTATCCAGAGCGACTTACAGGAGCAATTAGGGTTAAGTGCCTTGCTCAAGGGCACATCGACAGATTTTTCACCTAGTCGGCTCGGGGATTAGAACCAGCGACCTTTCGGTTACTGGCACAACGCTCTTAACCACTAAGCTACCTGCCGCCCATTTTAGTTAGTGTTACCAGAACACATTACCCAGTTTTCATCCAGCATAGTGTAACTGTGTTGACATTTAGCTTTCAACCCTAAAAGACAAACATGCTGTGTTTTCATCACAGGCATAGTTAAACCATCTCCGCACTCTCACACACACATACACACACAGCTAGACCAGTTAACAGAAACTCTTACGCAAATTCCCTCAGACACCAAGGGATTTCCAGTTGTAAACATACACCCAGACCAGTACATGTGTAGCGTGTGTGGGAATCAAACCCACAACCCTGATGACGGAGGAACATTTCTCCTCCAACAGAACCATTGGAACCATGTGTAGGCCACTTGTTGTTAGTCAAAATCACCCACATGTCAAATACTGGTCCCTTAGTGCATCTCCTGTTACTCTATCAGTTAGCAGAGTTAGACGGCAATTAGAAGAGCATATTTTTCACAAGTAAAGCTTTAACAGTGTCTCTTTTTCTCATTTGACATTATATGCGGCCCAGAATGTGTTACATGGACCCAGCTGGTCCACGATTACACCAATTATGCCACGGGTCATTGCATACTGCACACCTTGTTTTGTGGCACAAACACTTTTTTTGTGCCCTGTAATGGTCTTAGGGCTTAAAAAGCTTTCATCCCCTTCCATTAAAAAGTTTTAGTCAGTTATTTCTATTAAGATTTTTTTTTAATATTCCCAAGCTAAAGCAAATTCGATAGAGGTAGTACTGTATATACAGTAGCCTCATGTTGTTCTTTGAGTTGTGGATACAGCGAGGGTACAAGTGTCGTCCAGTATATAAATGAGCGCACTTGTGTGTGCGCGTGTGCCCCCCGGTCATATCTTTCAAAAGTGGTGGCCATGACTCAGTGTCCTTGAAAGACAACCACACACGCACGTATGCAAACACTTTGTCCTAAAAATCATGCACATCTCCAGGCCACAGACTCGTCAGTTCAAGGAGTCATGGACAGCTTCAGGGAATACCCACACACACACCATTCATCATTAATATCTCCACAGATGTCAGAATGTCAGGTCACTTCCCCTACTGCTACACCACAGAGACACACATGGCCTCTCGGCATCCATTATTTACACCTTCCTCTTGTCTACAGACGTACAGTACCAGTCAAATGTTTGAACACACCAACTCATTCCAGGGTTTTTCTTTATTTGTACTATTTTCTACATTGTAGAATAATAGTGAAGACTTCAAAACTATGAAATAACACATATTGAATCATGTAGTAACCAAAAAAGTGTTAAACAAATAAATATATTTTATATTTTGAAATTCTTCAAATAGCCACCCTTTGCCTTGATGACAGCTTTGCACACTCTTGGCATTCTCTCAACCAGCTTCACCTGGAATGCTTTTCCAACAGTATTGAAGGAGTTCCCACATATGCTGAGCACTTGTTGGCAGCTTTTCCTTCACTCTGCGGTCTGACTCATCCCAAACCATCTCAATTAAGGATTGTGGAGGACAGGTCATCTGATGCAGCACTGCATCACTCTACTTCTTGGTCAAATAACCCTTACACAGCCTGGAGGTGTGTTGGGTCATTGTCATGTTGAAAAACAAATGATAGTCCCACTAAGCCCAAACCAGATGGGATGGCGTATCACTGCAGAATGCTGTGGTAGCCATGCTGGTTAACTGTGCCTTTTTAATTCTAAATAAATCACAGTGCAAAGCACCCCCACACCATAACACCTCCTCCTCCATGCTTTACGGTGGAAAATACACATGCAGAGATCATCCGTTCACCCAGACCACATCTCACAAAGCCATGGCGGTTGGAAGCAAAAATCTCCAACTTGGACTCCAGACCAAAGGACAAATTACCAAATAGGGCTATAATAATAATAATAATAATAATAATAATAATAATAAATCTTCTGTATACCTTGTCACAACACAACTGATTGGCTCAAACGCATTAAGAAGGAAATAAATACCACAAATTAACTTTTAAGAAGGCACACCTGTTAATTGAAATGCATTCCAGGTGACTACCTCATGAAGCTGGTTGAGAGAATGCCAAGAGTGTGCAAAACTGTCAAAGCAAAGGGTGGCTATTTGAAGAATCTCAAATTATAAAATATATTTTGATTTGTTTAACACTTTTTTGGTTACTACATGATTCCAAATGTGTTATTTCATAGTTTTGATGTCTTCACTATTATTCTACAATGTAAAAAATACTAAAAATAAAGAAAAACCCTTCTATGAGTAGGGGTGTCCAAACTTTTGACTGGTAGTGTATGTCCCTACAATAAACTTCACCACGACCCCATTGTTCACATTCCACACTACGCCCCTGCTGTCTTCATTAGCGAACCCTGTGTCTTGGGTTGGAATGGCATTGAAAGTCAGTTGCTGCACTTGGCAACGTGTCACAATACACTGGCATTTGGCATTACGGGGGGCAGTTTCGATACTACGCCAGCTCGAGTGCAATGTTGGAATCAGCATTAGCCCAGCAGAAAAAGTGACTTTCCTAGCGACATCAACCAGTAAAGGTTATTTGGACCATTAAACCATTCCCTCCTCTCCTCCCACCCAACTTTGGCCTCAGATTAATTGATGGGGTTTTGTTTGTCTCATCTTTTCAATCAAGCCTTGGCGTAATGACTGATGTCACCCAAGTTTTTTTTTTTTTCTTCTCCATTTTGTAAGAAAAACATAGCATCATTTAATGTCATATGGAATAACAACTTCTTGCAATGAAGCTCCAAATAGGTTTTGCTAGATGCTTTCTACCTCATTCTAGCCTACAAGAAAGGACAGTAGCTTTTTAAGCTCTAGGGTAAATGATCTTGATAGTTATTTCCTTCATATTTGTACAGCAAAATCTGTAGAAAAAGCTTTTCCACATCCTTGTAAGTAGCAAACAGACCTCTAGGACAATGTCCTTACAAAACGTGTACCCACACACTGCCCATGTCCTCCTAAACCACTTGAACAAATTCTCATAAAATCCTTTCATTCAGATCCAATCCCAGAGAGGTACTCACGCTCCGCCTCCCCACCGGAGAACGGCTTCAAGCAGCACCTGGATACGCGCCTGTACGCCAGCCAGGGCAAAGGGCCCACTAAGACCGAGAGGACCCCCCACTTTGGCGGCAGGTCCTCCTCCCACGAGGGGCCTCCTCGCTCCCACTCCAGGGTCCAGGTACAACCAGCCCTTCCCAGCAGTGTGGGCTTCGGTGGCGGCCGTTACAGCCGGAGACTGGAGCAGCTCTCCAACGGCTATGACACAGACAGCAGCCGGGAGGGCAGCCGTAATGACAACTCCAGCTCCAGCAGCAGTAGTAGCAGCAGGCCCAGTCGGCCATGGAAGCCCATGCGCGAGGTGCTAAACGTTGATAGTGTGATAAGCGGTGGTGGTGGAGGAGGGGGTCACGAGCGCCGGCAGCACAGCCCCCACCGGAGACCCTCCAGCCAGGAGGGGGCGCCACCCCCCCACGAAAGAGACAGGGACCGGGACTTCACATGGGGCGGGCGTGAGGAGCACAAGCCCAAGAACCTGATGACCATCTACGAGGACGAGCAGCGTCCCGAAACGGGCGGCAGCCGCAGTTCGCTGGAGTTGGAGGGGAAGGACAGGTCAAAGGGCACCACTGTGACGGCGAACAAGCTAAAGGTGCGCAGCGACAACTGGAAGATCCAGCGCACCGAGTCAGGATATGAGAGCAGCGACCGGCTTAGCAACGGCTCGACCAACCTGGACTCCCCCGTGGTGGAGAACTTTATGTCCAAAGAGCTGAGGCCCGTACCTGAGGTACACCTGACAAGGTAAACAGGAGTGTTATTTTTCATCTCATATGTTGCTGTTTCTCTTCTAAGATCATATCATATATCCAACACTCAGTACTAGTTTGTTGATAGACACACCTTGTATTCACTCACTCAAACAGTTCCAAGTAAAACACTATCACTGCCTCCCTCCAGCTATAATCTCTTCGTCACTCATGTGTTATGATTCGACTCAGCGTCAAAATCGCTGCCATTTCTGAATAAGTAAACGAACGGTGCAAACAACAACTCGTTCTAAGAATAGAGTGAGACATTTTTTACATGCAGAATCTGACGAGGTTACTGTACTAGGGTCGTCATTTGTCGGCATGGTGTTTTGTTTGGCGATGATCACAACTAGCTGACAACTGCTCTCCTTCCAAGAGGAGTCGATGGCTGAAACAGGTCTAACCAGTGCAAGCCAACGTCTCCTGACAAGTGTTTCCATTATAACAACATAGTTAAATATGTTAATTTATCCCGATAAAAAAAAATTATAAAAAATGTATTAATATACAATATAAATACATTGCTCAGTATGTTGGAGTTGAGTGAATAATAATCTGTTTTTTGATGAGTCAGTATTAAGACTAAATGGGTCTTAATGACTAGTATTAAATTAGACATTCTACTACACTGTTAGAGCTAGTAACATAAGCATTTTGCTGCACTTGCTATAACACATGCAAATCTGTGTACATGACCAATAAACTTTGATTTGAAAATGACTATATAGAAATCCATGTACAAAAGGCTTTAATGTAGATAATCTCTTTACATGCATCTGTAGATCTCTGAACTTCATTGCTAGTTGATTTTAAAGAGGCGATAGTGAAAGTGTATCTAAACACTGTAGCTATTGTATTGGCATCCTTCGATTCAGTGCTCCACTGCTGTTGGGGCACAATTAGTATTGACTTTCCTCAGTCTCCCGAATTCACCAATGCACCAACCGAGAAGAGAAATGGATGTGAGCCATACATGTACCAAAAGAAAAAAGCTGTTTTTGGTGGATTAGTATCGGATTACTCCACAATAAATCATTTACAGAACAAAGTAGTATGGAGTAAAGTGGATTTCCGTGTTTACACTAGCAGTTTAGATCCAACGTAATCTCTTTAAAAGGTCGGTTGGGGAATAACCTGCATGCTGAGAGGCACCGTACAAAGGGACATGCATAGAAAGGCCTTTGTCATGTGGCGTCAGCGTTTGACCCTACTCAATTTTGTGTATTTCAGGGACCCTTTCCCTCACCGGAGAGGTGACGACTCCAAAGCCCACATCTTGCACTCCTCCTTCTCCTATGGTAAGTACTGCAAGGTAGAGTTTCCCCTAGGTACAGATCTAGGATCAGCTTCCCCTCCCCCAAACCTTAACCATTAGTGGAGAAAATGCAACACTCTCCCAAGATTAGTATCTAGGGACAACTTCATCCTACTCCATGGTGGTAAGCAACTTATGCTGCTTTTCGACTGTGACACCGATGTTAGACTGGTGTATACACACTGATGTTATACTAAGGAAATTGTGTTAAACATTGGGGTTAATCCTTTGTGGAAATTTGCCGTTAGTTGTCCGGCCTTCCCATGATGTTTTGTGCCAGTTGCCTTTCGGCCCTCACTCCTTATTTGTTTTGCTAGTGTTGTGCACCTGCTTCCCAGGGAACTTTTTAATGATGTTGTCCTTGTTTGCTAGTTCTCAGAAAAGCCAAAGCATCTGGCAAAATCCTCACTTTACACCCCACCTTGTCATATTGTCCTTTGCCCAAAGCATAAACACGCAACAAATATGAAATGAGGCAGCTGTGCTAATTTTGAGTCAATATTTTGGCGACCTGGATGAGATCTCATCTAGACTAAATTGATTATTGCAGTGCACAGAGAGTAATATGATGTGTTCTGCCCTGAACAATGCATGTATGAGCTTGAAAAGTGGCGAGGAGAGGGGTGAATATCAATGTATCTGGTATTTTAACACTTAATATGTACAGTCATTTAACACTTAACACCTAAGTACCCGGTTACCAAGAGAAGTGGAACAAATCTTGCAAACTAATCAATAATTCATGTCTGATTGAAGGCAACAAGCTTTTAGTACAAAAAACAAATAAATAAGCCAGGTTTACAACTAGCTATAATAGCTATTTGTAGCCCCCAGACAGGATAGAGGGAGATTAGTTGATATGAATAGCAGCAGGGGGGTTCACCGCTCAGCCACCCCTCACATACTGTGTCCATTTTTCATAATGTTCCCACTGTCTGATCCATCCATTCCAACAGAGAGAAATATATTTGTTTTTTAATGCTCCAATCTACGGCAGCCCTTTTAAACACCCGTCACCAATTCTCAGAATTGAAATCCATGGAGTTTGTCCCTACAGAGCAGAGATGATGAGCGAGCTCACAAGGGCCTCCCAGCTGTGCCCAGCTGGGCAGAAAATGCCTTGACCCGGCCTGTCAGAAGGTGGCATTCACACACACACACACACACACATAAATAAAATGCCATTTTCTGTGGCACCACACTTTTACCCCTCCCCTCCTTTTATTTTGTCCTTTCTTCTCAATAACAACAAATGGGGTGAATGTGAGGTCTCAAACATCAGTGTTTAGAACAGCAGGACGGTGGGTTGGTTTTACGTAAGTCTGGTGAGCTGACTAATGGAAGCGGAAAAGGGTTGTGTTTATTTCGGCCCTGTGCTGGCCCGTGAGCGTCTGTGTATGCAGAACAGAGCAGTCCATGTGGAAACACTCCCTGGCAAGGAAACAAACACGTTTGAAACCTTGATGTATTTATCACCGCTGTGATTTCTGATCCCCTTACGTTTTTGCCTTTTTGATTTTTTTCTTTTTCTGAATCTGTCACTTTTAGCAGTTGTTTTAAATTTAAAACAGTGGTGCTCAATTAAATAGTTGTTTAATGCCTTAACAATTGTATTAGCTTATTGTACACACAGTAGACCTACAAGATAATCAATTTATTTCATTGTTCCGGCACCATGTTGATGGATTGCTGTGTTCTTGGCTTCCGGTGATATATTTCTGTAACAAAATGTCCGATCTTTCCAATTTTCCAACTAGTTATATGCTAACTTTTTACGAATGCTGACTTGTTGATAACCTGAGTTTTCGATGTAAGTCACACTATTTGAGCCAGGGCTGTTGCCTCTACTCCCCGCCATTTGCAAATTGTATTGACAAGCTCCAGCAAATGTTTTTGAATTCAATTTGGCAGGAGTTCAGCTGTGAGCCCGGGCTGTGCTGCAGATAAGTCAGAGTAGATTCCAGAGGTCCATTAGAGGCTAAAATACTTTTTTAAAAGCACATGGGTGTGTGGGAGAACAGACGGCAAAACAATCAAAAAATATCAAAGCTGGCCAGGATTCAGTACAGACGTAAATAGTAAACACCATTTTATATACAACAAAACGTTGTTTTGTCTGCATATACTGTTACGTCTACAAACAACAGTCATAAAAGTAGAGAATATGGATGTTATTTCTAGATCTCTTCTGGAACAGCCGTCCAGACTTTGCCCACCTAAATGACAGCGTTACATTGTTTATTTGTTGCTGGGATGCCAGCCTAACCACAGGGTGCTCAAATGGATAGAATGCCTTTAGAGAAGGCATTCTGTCTGTGTGAGGGCTTCGAAAGGTCAAGGCAGCTGGGAGATGGGTGGAAAGTCCAGCCGCTTCAAACGGCTGTATCCAAGCAGTAAATAATACCCTCGCTTGATTTACTCCGATTGGCTCCCGCGGTTCCCCAGACCCTCGTCTGGAGCCATAGACACACACTCTGCCGTGCTAGTTGTTGATTTGCTAGCATGTTAGCACAACATCGCTAACACTGAATGAATATGCCCCCCTTCTCCTTCCTCAGAATATCGACCTGCTTCATTCACAATGAAAGCCATATTTTGCAGTGTCGACCTACCCCAAATTAACACTTACACACACCAACCTCTGTCACCAAGACACAAACTGTGTCTCTATTTATCAAGGCTGACAAATTATTGCTATGTAGGTGTTCATCTCTCTGTGAAAGACGGAATGTTTTGAGGGGGAAAAAAAGAAGACAAAAAATTAAGGGGGATACCTAGTCAGTTGTACAGCTGAATGCCTTCAACTGAAATGTGTCTTCCGCATTTAACCCAACCCCTCTGAATCAAGTTAACTTTGTTGTGTTCAAGCATTTGTGGTGGCGTGTATTAGTGTGTCTAAGACTTAGGGCATGTCTTTGTGTGCGCGCGCCCACTTCGCGCCTTGGCTCTGCTGCCTCCGCCTGTTTAGATGGAAAGAGTGCCTTTGGCTCCCAATGGGTAACCAAGCACAACCAAAGCATTTCCATGTTCTCAAGGGCTTAATAGGACTCCTTTGCATATTAATTTCAAACAATTATCCAGTCATGTAAGCTACCAAATCTCTCCCTTTTAATAGTAATATTTTAATGAAGATGGTAAATAGATAAACCTATATTAAATTCATGGGAATTATTAACATAAAGCAGTTTCCAAGAAGGATTTCTTTCTCAGTCCTGTGTTGTGGTGTGTTACTGTACGTTGGTCTATGGTGCATCCGAAATGACACCCTGTTCCCTAAACAGTGCACTACTTTTGACCAGAGCTCTATGCGCCCTGGTCAAAAGTAGTGGAATATATAGGGAATAGGGTGCCATTTGGGACGAAACCTATGACTCAGCGAGTTGGGAGCTGGGTTGTAATGCTCCCAGGCTTAGAAAGCCCATTGACACCACTTAATAAGCCTGTGTTAACGTTAGTGTTAATGCCCTGGGATAGAGTCCAAATGTATATTGCACCTTTTGGCTTGATGTTCTCAGACCGGGGTCCTATCAACACTCCCATAAGCCATACCGAGTGGGTGGATTACGTTGAGTGATGAGACGATTCAATAAAAAGTCAATATTTTCAATATTCAACATTGTGGACAGGCTTGGGGGTTAATAACAATTGCAATTATTGTATTTACGAAATTCGTAATAACTTTGAAATGAAATAGAAATTGGTCAAATTGTCAACTTTTTAACAAACTCTGCCTAAGTAAATGTGGAGTTTACACCCCAGAGAACTGATTGATTCATGTACAGACGATTCATTTAGAAGTGTGATTTGCTTGTGAGATCTGATATCTTTGGATCCCTGCCATCCACACTAGCTTGAGTTACATCCCCCTGATCAGTGTCTTATCCAGTTTCAAGCTGGAAAAGGAACTATCTTTAGATGTCAATAAATACTCTCGACAGCTTTTGGGTGCTCTGATCACTCTGATGTACCATCAGATCGAATTTTTTGCCATGGTTTTGTTTTTCTCCTCCCATAATTGATTCACACGGAAACTGAATAGCAAATGTGAATGCAAGTATGATTGATGTCAAGGAATTTTGAAGGACTGCAGATCAGCAGAAAATCCTGAGCTCTACCAATCTTGACTCGGCAATCTTGAAATTGAAACGTATGAAGTTGTCTCATTTTGTTGCATCAACACAGCTATTTAAGACGTTCAAAAAGCTCTTAACAAATTCTTCATAACTGGGAGAGGTTGGAGTTTGTGATGCCACGTGAGATTTAAGTAACCTAAAGCTCCTATATAGATGCTGAGCTATGATCATAGAGTTTTGAAACAAAATTACATCACTACTGTGATTAGTATGATGATGATTTGATTGACAGGTGTCCATTCGACTGCTCAGGATAGTCCCATTCACTGAAATGGGATCAGTGGCATCATTGATTTTCGTCCACAGAAACAGTATCTTCATATATCCATTACTGCTGGAACACTATATGTTATGTACACAAACACCAGAGGCCATATTCCATCAAAGTCAGTAAAGCCGGGTGTATGCTATGATTTTGGCCACGATTTGGCTGTCCCAAACAGGTTTTTGAGATCGGAGACAAAATCCCCATGTCGTTGCCTACGCTCGAGCAGGAGCGATGACTACTACTAATATGTGTTTGTACTTGCCTTTAACCAAAGTCAAAATGTCAAACATTTGAGGCTGCTTTGAGCCACAGCTCGTTCTAGCTACGTTAACAATCTAACCACATCTCATCACATTGTTTTCGCAAGAGAGCGTGGTATGGAGAATCCTCACGACAAAGTGAATAATCTTGTAGTGTGTGACATCCGTCTGTGCCAGATTGTTTAGTGTGTGCACCACTACGTTAGAAAGACAAAAAAATACAGGAAAGACGGTCATTTAATGTGAGAGGCTCAGTGATGTTAGGATTTTGAAAGTAGTGTACACTTGGCATAACTGGGTTTCATTTGGATTAATCTAGTAAACACATTTATTTTTACAGTGTTGAACCAAAAAAGCATATTCAAAATATGCTTTCTCATTGTGCGGTAATATTTATTTTTCTTACTGCAGAAACCGTATTAGCGGTTTTGAATCATAGGGACCCAACCTTATCCATGTTGTTTATTATGGCAGCATGAGCAGCTTAATGCCACTATTAGCCACACAATTTCTGAACTATACTGTTGAACTTGTTGTGCCCCTAAGTGCTAAGAGATGGAACAATACCACATGACTTTATTAATGCACCCTATTACAGAGGTATACATCAATGAAGTTGTGGGTCTCTAATGGTTATAGTGGTAAAACTATGCGAAAAGTGCACTGCAATGCTATCAGAGTGACCCCAACTCTGCCGTTAATCACTTAAGAGATTATTCAACCATTGATTAGATGGTAATCCGATTGCCTATGTCTGAACCATTTTGGGATCTGGTTAGAGGCATTTCTCTAACCGGAGAGCCGCAGCTGCCTTGCTCTTTGTTATACAACAGCTATGCTCCCCAGTCCCTCTGGTTCTCTCGGCAACAGCCGACCCGACTGTAAAGAAGAGAAAGGATTTGCTACAGTAAGGAGCAATGTAGTGGAGGGCTGTAAACTGCATCCCGCTTTGTTTTCATATTGATATTGTTATGGTTGCTAGCCAAAATTGCAAATGCACGCAGCGTTTGGAGGTGAGGGAGAGAAAAAAAGTCAGATCCCAGCGTAATAAATGCATGCCAGCTAAAGGGATTTAGCCAGTAATGCTCCCGCAGAGAGTGCAAAATAAAGGAAAGGGAGAGAGGGTGAAAGCCGAGTATGCTAACACATCACAGACAGCCTAAGCCTTATAAGATTATGCACATTTTTGTACCATCAACTTTTAGCCACAGTTCCTGTGAGAGCGTAAGGGCCTTAGAGGTTATCTTGACATACGTCTCTTTGCAATGACATGAAAGGTAAACATGACATGGCCTGACTTTCTTTCCCTAGTTTATTTTAATCGTGGCCATGCCTTTCTCTGCAACTGTCCCACCACCACTGATGGCTCCCCATTTAATCTGCTTGTCACTTGGTTTGTTGACATAGCTCACTGGGTCTGGCTCTGCCACTGGGGCCTAACTCTGCAAGGTACAGAAAGTTCAGACGCTGGGCAACCCCTGCCTGTCACACCCCCACCCCCCTCGGTTCAGGGTACGACCCTCTCCCCCTGTCCCCCTCTCCCCACTGGGTTGAAGTCCTCACTTTGCATTAGCAAGGATTAGCATCGTTAGCCTAAAGGCTAGCAAATTGGCCTGGGCTTTGGACTTTAGCTCCAGTTCCCTCTGAGGGGCCTTAGCCTCGCTCATGACGGATCAGACAGTGGTACACAGGGGGCCCGAAGGCACTCTACAAGACTGCCTCTCTACTTTGATACGTCCTCCCCCAGCACCGGGCTAGGCCCACAACATCACCCCAGTTAGATAACATGTCTGTGCTAGAGACAGGCAGGAAAATACTGTGATGTTCAAACATGGGATCAGAGCAGAGTCACATAAATATTGTTGGTTGTGTGTGTGTGTGTGTGTGTCAGTGAGGTTAAGGGTTGAAAATGTATTTTGAAAATTCGGAATAGGGCAGTCTTGTTTGTGTTTCGAAGTGTAGCTGTAGTAAATAAGTAGCAATCTACCAAATCAAATGAACTTATTCTTATCTTCCAGGTGAACACCCAGCAAAGTCTCCAGACCTGCAAGATGCACATCTCCTCATATTGAGTCCAAGATTACAAAGGTAAAGCATGGTCATTGTACTACTTTCAGTAGAGTGAAAGGGTTGTTTCTTTGATACTTTACTATAACTATAAGTGATCTGTAAACTGGATATAGAGTAAAGATTCCAAAGATTGGTCTCTGCTATTGACCCATTTTCATGTACCAGTACTGATGCTAGTGGTAAAGTATGCAATCTTATTCTGGATAGACTGTTTTATTGATGTATGTCTTTTTCTCCCTGCAACAGAAGACGAGCCTTCCGATATACTCCTGGAATTCTGGAGAGGAGGGATGGTATGGATGAAGAGCAGGAGGATAACGTCGATGCCAGCCCCAGCCCGGTCAGCCCCTTTCCCTCATACCTGGCCAAGACCAGCAGCTCAGAGTGGAACAGCTCCGACGACCTCGCCGGCCCCTTCTCCGAACAGGAAGAGACCAGGCCCCTGTTCCCCAGAGACCCCTCCCCCCAACCCCACTATCACAACCTAGCCCCGCCTCTCCCTCCCAAGACCTACGTCCACCGATCGACAGACCAGTCGGGCTTCCGCGCTCACCAGCTCCAGGAGCCCTCCCGGACAAGCCCCCAGAACGAGAGCAAAAATTGGCCGATCCTGTCCCTCTCCCACACCACCCTCCACAGGTGGATTGAGACGCCCGCCGAGCACAAGCTCTCGTCTGATGTGAGCTCCAAGTCAGGCTCATCGGACCAGGACCGGAACGATCTGTCGGCCAGTGAGAGTGGAGAGGAGAGGTTCCCCAGCCCAAGGCCAGGGGACGACATGGATGACCTAGACTCCCCGGTCGGAAGGGAGATGGTTCTCCCCATGGTCCTCCCCACCACCTACTTCTCTGTGGACAACTGTATGACAGACACATACCGGGCCAAGTACCACCCGAGGTCCACCCTATACATGACGGACGCTAAAGGTGGGGAACAACTCGCGTCATCTGGTGAGAGCGACCTGGGAGAAGGGTGGCTCCCCATCACTGAGGCCCAACATGCAGAGGCCCCCAAGAGCCAGCCTGAATCAGGTAAATGGAGTTGTCTGTAGATCAATCAATCAATCAAAGCAGGTGCGGTAGAGAGAGAGTTAATTTGCCACAGGATGTGGAAAACACTTGGAGCCCAAATTGTTTGTGGTCACCATTTGTTTATTATAACCTAAGTAAAAGCATGTTCCTGCTATAGATTTATTTGTCATCAATAAATGTTCTAATGAAAGTTGTGGTCCTTTTTATAAGTATATTACAGGGGTGGATAATGTTTTCTTTGTGTTCTAATCTATGTCCATGGTCTTTTCCAGGTTATTCTACCAGTAAACATATTGCAAAATGGAATCCTGTAACACCCAAAGGACTTGATGAACATGGGTTTCTATGATAGAAACTCCACTGTTGAAGGGCCTGGTACGAAAGCCGTTAAAAGCAGTTAAAACAATCATCTCCTCCTACAAGTTTAGAAACCTTCTTACGGTGATGCTTATTTGCTTGTACAGATCTCAGATCAGAAGTCAGACATGAATCTGAAATGCCGAAGAGATTGGTAACTCCCAAAGGCAGTAACAACTAGTCTGAAGAGTACACTTCAGTTCAGCAGTAGTCACAGGAGTCTTGCGCCAACCCTGCAGAATAGTCTTTCTGCAGAACAATTTTCATACCATTGTGATTGTGGTCACTAGATGGCATCAGCAGTAATTGTGGATTTGCACAATAGAAAGCCAAAACAACTACTGAAAGAGGATCTAAACCTAGGATGGTTATTGGTCAACCCAGAGACCTCTTCAAACTTACTTCCAAGGTCATCCACTGGGTTGAATCACAGAATGTCTCCCACAAAGCCACTTTTCCACTTTAAGAGATTATCAAATAAAATACCCGTAACAATGACAATAACCCGTCTCTAACCAATTTTCAATTTATGCAGATAATCGATGGAATGCTTGTATTTCTTTCTGGAATTATGCTAATTTCAGTGTTTATAAGGTTACTGTGCTACTTCTGCCTATGTAACAATGCAAGGTGAGGTAAATAAGCCTTGAGCAGGTTTTTAGTTTTAGTCTCCAGTGTTGACTCATTCATGGAATAAGGGTTTTTCAGTATGTGGACACTAGGGCTGGCACAATTACCGCATAACTGTGTGACCAACGGTTATGGATGAAGACCGTCATGAAAATAAAGTAACCGTCATAACTGTTTAAAAAATATATAACATTTGGAATGAACAGTTGACTGAAGATGGGACGGCTTGGCATTTGTGCAATTGAGTCCCTTTCTGCTGTAATATGGACCCTTAACAACGTGATGAAACTTGGTTGCTCCTTGCTGAAACAAGCAAGGTGTTGCCTAGGCAACGCCCACCACAATGCAGCAGCACACATAGAAATATAATGAATAGAACAGGCTTGGAACCGCTAACCCTGGCAATTTGACTGGTAAACTCATGGGTACACTCTCAATGGCTGCCTGGTATTGTGATGCAATCATTTCCATGGTAATGTAGAATGTTCATTCAAATGTTATCTGATGTGACTCATGCAATGAAATGTATTTTTTGTAATGTCAGTTGAGTTGAATCAACAAAATCACAGCACATGTTGATGGGTACTCTAGGTTGAAGATGATAATATATAATAATACATATATTTTCGACCTAGCTTTTACTTCCTGCTTTGCTCCTATGGGCAAAGATGGTGGATAAATGAAGACGGTACACTCAGGCCATTTACCATTGAAAAAAATGTTCAGTTCCTGTCTACTTAAGGGGGTGGCTCTCCCATAGACACCAATGCGAAATCATCTGGGTCTGGTCTACTTAGTTCATTGACTTGCATTAAAACAAAAGTGAGGGAGTGGGATGTCTCACGTAATCTTCCTTCTCTGCTATGGGTACACTTGCCACCAGTCCACCCATTATGCTGTAATTGACTTGAATGTGGACGCTCGTTCTATTCATTATATTTCTATGGCAGCGCATGCAGTCAGGTGCAGAGAAAATGTGCATCTAAAAAATGTATGAGGAGAACCGCGGTTATTTGGCTGGCCAATTGCCTTCATCCAAAATTCCATGACCGTCACAGCCCTAGTGGACACTCATCCATTGTTTTCGTAAGAGCAAGTGGGGAAGACAAGAATTTATATTTAATATTTTCTATAATTTAAATGATATTCTGATTTCATCTCTTCTGTTTGTGTTGGAAAGGGAAGGGTTAACAATGAAGAGAAAAAAATATTAAATCAGGAATTTTCTTTGGTGGCCTCTCGGGAGAAACATTTTGCTAGCTAAGTCAGCCATGGTTAGGCCCTCAGAAACTAGACATCTGCCATTCAACAGAGTGACTGGGAAATCAACCAATCACATTTTGACAATATTGTTTTTCAAACTTCTGCCTTCTCGCAGCTCGCTTGTTAGCTATCACTTTGAAAATATGCGTGTGAAACATTGTTGCATTTAAACTTTAGATCACTGGTTACATGTGTGCTTAACGTGATAAAACATGTTTGCAATGGGAAGTAATAGTTGTACATTTTGATTTGGAAATGCTTAATGGTTGTGTTTTTGGTTATATTTGGGGGCCTACTGGCACATTTGATGTGTCACTGTTGTAATCGCCTACCACAGATTGTTTAAGCAGTTGTTGTTGGTCGCATTATTCGGTGCCGGGAGTGAGTGACAGCCTGATGCGTGGCTCAGGCCTGTTTGATTAATTCATTATGTCATCAAAAAGCATTGCTACTCTTGCATTAGAGCTAGTGTAAATGTTTCATTCGTTTTTTTATTTCTGAAGAGGTTTTACCCCCACTAAAGTCCAATAGTCATGGTTCGTAGGAGAACTACTTTAAAATGGATCCCAATGGTCCCCTCATGTGGCCACAGAGGCACCGGGTGTTGGGTGAATCTGTTCTAGTCCAAGGTTGAATGAGAGTTTAGTGATTGTTAGGAGAGCAGCGTCTCAATTCATTGGCATCTGGCACAGTATGTTATAATCTGCCTTTTAACCCGGTATTCACTAGGAACCAATTGGAAGCAAATGGCCGAAGTGGGGAGGGACTAACCTGACTTGTCCAATAAGAAACGCTAATTTTCGTAAACATTCGCTGCTGTGTTTGATCTGTTTTCTATCCCTAGTTTGGATTGCAGTACATCGTGTCTCTCACACTCCTTTCCAGATATAAGCTACTTTGTCTGCTCTTTAATGTTGCTCCTGTCCATACCGGGTAGTATGTCAAAGGTATGTTATGTCAAACCATGCTTCTGTATATTTGTCTTCTACTACTTGGTCAAATACATGTGGCAAATACTTTGTGTGTTTCATTTAGTTTTCCCCATACAATGGAACCAATATAATTTGTTCCAAAAGTCCAAACTCCAAGCTAAATCAAGCCCACCTCAAACTGGTAAGTATTTGACATATGAATTTGACCGAGGTTTGTTGGTTTACCTAATCTTAAACCTAAACCTCAAGAATGGATTGAGTAATGGATTTAAAGTGTCTTAATGAGGTAGAAAAGGCCTGCTTTTCTGCAGGTATTGTTCTAACTTGACCCCCAGAGATTATCACATTGGCTAGTGATGCTGTAAAAAGTTGTTTATTATTATTTCTGTTGTCAAATATGTTTTATATATTGCTCGGCAGACTTCACTGCACAGTGCCTTTCTATTTTTCTATGTCGAGATTAGTTGAAATAGGAGCCATTATTTGTACAATATGTACTTTTTCGAGATGCTTTTATAACATTCGATTTCATTTGTATTGATTAACAATTGTTTAATAAACAATTTTATTTAACCATAATTGTCTTTTTTTTACGATGAAATTCTCACTATTGTAAGTTATTCTCATAATAACATCATTAATGTAAATAATTACAATATCCATAATTATAAATAGCCTACTTGGGGTAAATGTAATCTCGGCAAACCAAAATCTTACGTGAACTACTCTATTTTATGGATACGTCTGTCCATGAGAGATTAGGGTACATGCAATTAAACACCCTAAATAATGTTATACATCGTATTGTAAGAGTAAACAGGAAGCAGAGTTGTGATAAATGGAGCACAAAAGGTTTCGCCATGGAGGCTTGGAAACCTGAAGCTCTGCTGCCATCTACTGCATGGATGAGGTTATGGTATGCCTCCGGATGTGGATGACATATCTACAAAGGGTGTGTACCAATAATGTCTCCTTTCTCCAGAGGGGTATACTACGAAGCAAGTTAGATCTATTCAGGGTTTTCTAAAGCTAGCCAGCTTCATTTAGCTTCCCATTCCACCATACTATGACGGTGGATATTGCTTGTTTGCCTTCCACTAACTCTAGAAGGCTTGTAACGGCGCATGCATGTCGCACGTGGCTAGTCGAACGAGATAATGATAAAACATCAATCAATGGGCAAGTCAGTGCCACATTTTAATTTGTGCTGAAATCAAAATGAAAGAATCTTGCAAATTCAGTAGGCTATTACGGAAGTCCAGACAGGACATAAAGTGCATTCGGAAAGTATTCAGACACTTTGACTTTTTCCACATTTTGACACGTTACAGCCTTATTCTAAAATGGATTAAAAACACACAAAAATCTCCTCAATGTACACTCAATACCCCATAATGACAAAGCAAAAACAGGTTTTTATACATTTTTGATCGGTGTCCCGTATACGGGACGGTTGAGCTAACGTGCGCTAATGTGATTAGCATGACTGTTGTAAGTAACAGCAAACTTTCCAGGACATAGACATGGATCGAGCAGGGCTTCTCCATCTGTCGGAGGCCTGCATCCTGTGAAGCGTGGGAGTGGGCGGATTTCCTCGTCCTTCTCGCCAGCTGTGATTTTGGGCAGCTCCAAAATGTGACCATTCCTGGTTCAAATACAATGTTCTATCCCTGAGCTCGAGTAAATTACATTACTAAGCTGCTCCTGAATGTACTACGTCAGGGCATGGAAATAGATTCTATCGTAGTCCATGTGGGTTTTAATGACATTATGAAGGGCAGCTCTGAACAGTTGAGACTGGATTTTAAAGAGCTGATTGACTCTCTACTATACACTATCCTATCCTGGGCTTGGATCCTTTCACAAAATTATAAGGCTGCGTTGAGACAATGACTTAGCAATGACCCAAGCCCAGCTCAGCTAATCCCTAACATTGTGACGCAGAGTTGTCAAAATGCATCAGCAAATGTACATTACATCAGGGGCGTCGGTAAACACAATATAAGTAACCTAATTTATGTCCCTCTAACTGCCCTGAATGCCTCTGCTGATCCTACAGCTATTGTGTGCAGTAATCATGTGCCTAAGAACCAGATGTATTATGTTAGCACTGAGCCGGTGTGCCCGAGGAGGCAGTCCACTGTGTGCAGCTCACCCTGCACTAACA